AAAAAAAAAGGCACCAAGCTGTGTTTAAGCGAAACAAAAAGTTGGAGGCAAGAAAGAAAAGTCAGCCAAGTTATAGTGTTGAACATAGCTGTTTGTCGTTAGATAATATGCTGGATCGTCTGATAGTCAGGAGATGAGCCTTTTGTCATGTATTGGAGGCACAGTCAATAACCACAGATTTTTTTTGCGTGCCGGTACTCAGCCAAACACAAACCTTACTTAAATGTGACACTCATTATCCAACAACATGTTTTACAGCAGTCAATTCAATTCCTCCGCTTGAAATAAAGTAGAGAAACGTCCTGTGCCTAGAGAGAGATACTAACTGGCCACGTGCACGTGAGTCATTTGCGCACAGATCACCTTCTTGTATGCAACGTTTTCGCTTCAACTCCATTCTACGGTGGGTGGTTAACTGTGTGACTTTAGCGTAACAAAGTTTATTACCACCTCATGCAGGGCTACCCAATGCTTTTTGCTTATCGAGTGCCACTCACGTTTTCAATTTCGCCAGCCAATGTGTGTGCCCCTGGAACAGCTCTTTCTTCAACAAAAACTCGCAAACATACCGTCTGGTATATGAAGCTCAAAGTACCTAATAAAGAAATATTGGGCTTTTCCATTGCTTTGACAAAAAGCTAGTCTAGTTTATGTGTTTTTTTGCGGTGGATTATTGACAGTTGGAGAAACATCACCTCTACTGGTACAAAAAGGGGAAAGAGGAAATTCAAAAACTACGATGTATAGGTGTTATTTTTTAGAGGCAGCAGGTTTACCACCAGTAGCTGCATTGGAGAGCGTAGCAAGGAAGGTGGTCTTCTCAGGCAAGGAGTATGTAGCATTTTGGCCGACTAGTCTCTCAATCGCTTCAGCATTGAGAGTGCCTGAAGTTTGCAAGCCTTGAACATTAAGATATCGCTCGTAGTCGCCACCTTGTATTTCCAGTCGCTGAGCAATACGTTCATCTTCAGTCACAATTTGATCAGTCGACGTGGGGACAGCGTCAACATGGGAGACTGCCTGGAAGGATGACCAGTCAATGTCCTTGGAAACAAAAGCAGAAGCCTTTGGTAATGTACTTCGTTGTTGCTCTTGAGGTCTTCGGTTGCTCAACAAAGTTCTCTTTCTATCTTTTCTACGGTTATTACCGTTTTCACCTTCCTTTCTTTCGTATGTTCGTTGTGGGCGAGTATTAGCCGCTGGTGCGTTGGTGCCAGCGGCTGTTTCAACTGCATCGTCAAATTGTCCTGGCTTTTCAGTGTGGTGTCTATTTCTGTTGGGTTGCTGTGGTCGTCCAGTTTTTCCTTTGCTTGCCTTCGCCTTCTTCTGTGCATTGGCTAAAAAGGTTGCAAATGGATCGTCTGCTGCTAAAGGCTTGCCTCTTCCAGCTCCACCACCGAGACGCTCAGACAAGGACATTTTCTTGTCCGATGTTACAACCTGCTTTGTTGCAGCGATTGACATGGTGCGTTGTACAGTGCATCTTGGTACAAGAGCAAGGCTCTGTAGTGATTTGACAGCTGGAGTTCTAAGCATATCGAATGGTATAAATGTCAGATGCCAACAGAAATTTTTTTTTCCTAGGGCTGTTTTCGCCAGACTCATCGGTCATGTGATTTCACTTCCGTTTATTTTTTTCAGCTTTCTTTGATGGATGCAGTTGGATTGCCGACGCAGATATTTGACTGCATTGCTTTACTTGAAAGAAGCCATGATTTAACGTTATTTTTTGGAAATACATATAGATTGTTTGATTTTTATGGACGCCTCTTTCATGCCACGGCAAAATCCTTCAGTCGGTCGTACATTTATCGATGAAAAAGGGGCTATTTTTTGACACAAGCTGCAACACGAAGTTAGCTTTTGACTGTAACACAAGGACTGGGACTTCTTGTTATCTGAAACGCTGCAATGATTGAGAAAAGAAAGCCCTACTACGTTTAGCTATCATGTACAAGCGAGCTGTTTGTATGTGAGTCAGACGGTCGGATTCGTAATCATTGACAGATCAAATTGAGTCATTTTGTCAAAAGCTGAGATGCCTAAGCACGGCTGTCCGGCGACTTTTGGAAAGTTTGAGCTACCACGATACAAGTGACCAATTTTCCGGTTATTGTTGAATCAAGTGCACTGGTTGACTGGAACACATGTGACCAGGCGACCAGTCAGACGAAAAGGCTTGGCTGGCTGGCGGTCAATGAGTGAGTGACTGTGTGGGCATTATTTCCCTTCTATTTTTTTCTTTCTTTCTTACTTTCACTTCCTTCTTTCTCCTTTCCTTTCTACACTCAAAAGCAGCTTGTCTTCACAACCTTTTTCTTTATATTTGCATATATCCCTTCTGTGGACTGCAACTTTGACACTTTCTTTTTGACCTGAATTCTGGACCGTCTCCACCGACTGATAAACGAGCTCATCATGTTGATGAGCTCTCGAACTCCCCGTTCTCGCGATGAAGTAGCACCACAAAAGACAAAGCGCATCCTGGAAATTGGCAAACCCATAGAATTTGAACACGGCATCCACGTAGAGTATAACAGAGAGAAGGGCAAGTTCATGGCAAGTATTTCTTTTTTTTTTTTTGGCCCTTAGTTGTTCAAACTCCCGCACCCCTTACAAATTCAGTTTCGGGGCTACTGAGACAAAAGAAGGGGGCCGTTCTAGCTTTTGTGTCTGCTGAATGATTGCTGACGTAGCAATACCTTCTACCATCTATAGGGTCTCCCAGATGTATGGCAAGGCGTGATTCCGAGTAGCGACGACGTACTTGACACAAGTTGCATTAGTCCCCACCTTGTTCCAGCACCTTACCTCATTGGTAAAGTTTATTTAAACCCATTGAGCAACTTTTTGTTAAGACAGATCCTAACTCATACGCTGACGATTGTCATCTTCCCCTTACAGCCCACACCACTAAAGCAGACAATATCAGTAAACCTTATAATGTTCAGCATAATATTCATGTGCAAATCGATAAAACGTCGTATGTTCTGCAAGGACTCCCCCTTGCCTGGGCACATCAACTACAGAGCTCGAACCAGGTACCTGTCCATGCTGACTTTCAAACGGAACATACTAGTACCCGGACTCGATCATCCATGAGTCCTCATCGTTCAGCGTCATCCTCTTCGAATAAGTCTCTTTCATCCTTCCCTAAGAGCAAGAGTTGGACGGATATTCGTCGTAAAGCAAGCAAGGCTTCTGTGGAGCGAAAAGCAGATGAGTGCCAAGATCCATTGTTACTCTACAACAACATTGTTGAGGTTGCGGAAGGAGAAAGCGGCTCGTTGTTCTCCGCTTCATTGATCTCCGATCCTCGCACGGTGAGTGCACCAATCCCTTTTCGTTAAATATAGCATTTTTCTCGCTGACAATGAAAAATGATACATAGACGGTGGCGATCAAACGCATTAGTCTTTCAGACACTTCCAACATTGAAAAAAAGAAGAAGGAAATGCAAGCTATGAGGCAGTGCAGGCACCCAAATATCATCAACTACATTTCTCATCACTGGACTAGTGATGAGCTTTGGGTAGGCATCAAAATGATTTATGGGAGGGGGGAATGCTAGATCGTCGGATAAAAGCAAATTCCCATGTTAGCAACCCTAAATTTTTTTCAAGGGTTTTTTTTAACTCACCGACGTTCTTGATAGATTGTGATGGAATATCTCGACAACTGCTTGACGGACATCGTCGCCATCGAAGATTCTGATATGGCGATGCCCTCATTGAACGAGCATCAAATTGCATACATAATGCGCAGCGTCTTACTTGCATTAAATCATTTGCATTCACTTGGACGGATACATCGAGACGTAAGAGCAGATAACGTTCTGCTCAGCTCTGAGGGCATGGTAAAGCTTGGTCAGTATCTCAATTTTTTAAAAGTTTCTTTTTTCCACAACAACATACGGCCTGCAATATTCATCTTGGGACTTTTTTATGCAGCCGATTTTGGACATAGCGCACAGTTGACAACAACCGCACCTAGCCGTAATTCTATTGTTGGAACGCCTTTTTGGATGGTAAGTGATACAATCACTTTTGGCATGTTGGCTGAAAAATGGATGATGCTTACTGGGGCTTTTGACCTTCTAGGCTCCCGAAGTTATCAGAGGCGATAGCTATGATACGGCTGCGGACATTTGGAGTTTGGGGGCTTTGCTGTTTGAGTTGTTGACCGGATCACCGCCACTCAGTGAATACCCACCACTACGGGCGATTTATATAATTGCTTCTAAGGGCCTACCAGCACCTCCTCAAATATGGTCAGATGAGCTATTGGACTTTTATGAGCAATGCACCATTATGGAAGCGAGTCATCGACCCACCGCCAGTGTCCTTCTAGAGGTACATTTACCGATATTTTAGAATGTGCATTCATATTAACATGTTTCTAACCATAATGATTTACCTCCCTTATTTCCCGTGAATTCTACTGATGATAGCACCCTTTCATTGTCCGGTGTGCAGGAACCAGTGAATGCCTTCAAGAATTGTTGCTTCAGCCACAAATGGACGTAGTTCCCATGGAAATGTCTTCAAACCAGATGACAGCCGATGAGGGTTTACTTGCTGATATAAGGTCAGAAATGGCGTCAAACAGCCTCAATAGCAAAGATACTGAGACATCCACGGTGGCAACCCGAACATCTAGCGTATGGAGCTGGATGGACGAACCTAATGCCTTGAATATGGATTTCCAGATTGCAATAGATTTTGATCACCTTCAACTATCTTCAACACTGGAAACATGATTCTAAAAACCAGAAAGTACTCTATCAAAATACCCTGCTATTGAAACCCCTCATCTTCATTTTCTTTGCCCATTCTCCTTCATTTTTCTCACCTTATCATCTTCTACACAGCTTACCCCACATTGTAATGAGTTTATACTTTGATTTTATCATCTCCCATGTACATTTGACCTTTCTTGAGACGATTTTTCCCTTATATTTCCAATTTGTCTCTATAATATAAAGTAGTTCTATTTTCCACCAGCTTATATTCTGCCTGCTTGAAAATGATGCAATGTGCGTCGAACACGTTTTTTGAAACCCAGAGTTTACTGCCACCTGTGCAACTGTAACACCCGGTGATCTCAATGCCATCAATGGCTTGCAAGCTTCATGGGCATAATTGTTTCTCGTCCATCATTCCAAGATATGTTCTTTCTGATGCCAGAGATCGGTTTTAATGGTAACGATGCAAAGGGACAAAGAATATGATGGGCATTAAAATTCTAACGAGAACAGCAAGGGAATATTTAAAGGATGGGAAAAAAAGGGTCAAAAAATAAAAAAATGCGTTCGTCGGTGGTGAGTTTTACAAGGCATTTGACTTAATGTTTTGTGCATGCAAAAACAAAAATAACAGAAGAAATTTTCCAGATTTTGGCTGGGATGCAAAGGTAACGTCGTCTAGATCATCCACTACAACAATTGAGCTGCTTCTGGGTGCAACGCTTGATAAAGGTACACAAATCCAAAGATGATGAAGAGCACGGCGCCTGTGTAGGTAACTGTAGTAAAACAAAGGGGGAGGGTTTAGAAACCTGTTCGGCGCACCATAAAGAATAGAGGCTCGTCGCATTGACATACCTGTCTTAACTGATATTTTGGTTGCAAGGTATCTTCCACCCATAACAGCAACGAAGGTACACATAGAGTGGCCTACAACAACGCCGAGCGTTACCCAATAGACATTCTACAAGTAACTGATTAGTTTCTATCAAGCGAAAACCCGTCTCCCCCCACACCCCTCGGAATGAATAAATTAGTTATGGCGGACTTACATTAGCAGCAGCGAGAGCAATCGTCGAGATTTGAGACCGGTCGCCCCATTCACCCAAAAACGTAAGTATGAAGGTCTGTACAAAGACAGGGGAGAAGACCAGTTGCATTAAATTAACGATGCCATCCTTGAGCTGTTCGGTTTTCTTCTCATGTGGAGACTCCAGGCCGCCGACTTCTTCGGTATTGATTTTTCGAAGATTATCTCGATCTTCGGCCTCCATAAGTTCTTCTTCGACTTCAGCCATTTCTTCTTGAGCTTCATCACCTTTCATTTTATACGCCTCACTCAACATCTTGACACCGAAGCAGAAAAAGAGCACTGCAGCCAACCAGGTGGTATAAGCGGCTGGCAACAGATTAGGAACTACGTGGCCAAGGAAAGCAGATAGAACGGACATGACAAACAAGGATGAGAACGCGCCTGCAAAGACCACAAGCCGAGAATGTTTCATTGCCATGATAGCAGCGATCAAGAATGTCTTGTCACCCACTTCAGATACGATGATCATTAAAAAGGACAGCATGAAGCCCTGTTGTGCCGATGCCGAGTCGGCTGAGCTCATAACAGAAGAAGCTTCTATAGCACCGTCCTTCTCCAAGTAAGTTTTTCCAGCCAAGCTGGGATCGTAAAATGGAGAATCGTCAATGTCTCCAATCTAAGTTGAAGAAAGGGGCAGGGAATGATGTTTAGATATGGGAGATTGGAAGGCTTGGTCACAAAATGAATCAGTAGATATACCTGAGATTGAGCGATGGTTAGAACAGAAGAAGCCAGTACCAATGCGATGGCAAGTTGGCCGTGTAATGACCGCATCATGTCGAAATACAGTAAAAAGCAAGATAAAGACGGAATGCCCAGAAAAAAAGCCCTCCCGCAAAAGCCAACCAATTATCCAGGTATGGCAGTCACGGTCCTCGAAATGGAAAGCTAACAGTGGGAGTTTGAAAATCGATGTGTTGCTTGAGGCTCTTCTTTTCTTCTTGCTAAATGTTACCCGACAAGTACATTGGCCTCATCCTGGCCTTGTGTTCAACTTTCTTGATTGGTCTGTCGTTTACTTTGACCAAGCAGGGTCTGACCAACGCAAAGAAGATTCATGGTATGTGTCCTTTTATCTCTCTTTTTTTTATCATAATTCTGGGAGAAGGGTCATGTAGGATTGGGGGGCACAGTGTGATCTTTTTATAAACTCGGCCATTTGCACCATGGTCGACCTCGGTGATCATCTCGACACAACACCTCCCAACATCGACATGCCAAAGCAGCTTACTGGTCCGCTATAGTGAAGCTCCTTACAAGCGAAGCGGATGGTTTTCATCATGGCTGTGCTGTATGTTGTGGAGATAGGATCCCGATCTGGCGATTTTTGTGCGGTGCACGACCGCTTTGCCAAAACAACTCAACATAGTAATGGCCATCAAACCTGTGCAAACTATCGACTTTGGACGGGTTATAACGTATGAACGACAGGGGATTAGAGTTGGGTTCTTGGCATCCAATAAATTATAATTATCAGCGGAGGAGGTGGCGGAGCGGATCAGAGACCAACATAGAACAGCAGAAACGGAAGTTTTTTATTTTATTTTTATTGGTCTTTTGTTACTGAAACATTTTCTTTTTTTTTTATTTGTATTCAACAGGGCATTCAGCTTCAGATGGCAAATATCATTACTTGAAGAACTGGTTATGGTGGGCTGGCATGACTACAAGTGAGTTTATTTATTTTAAAATAGCAAGGGTCTCTGGAACTGGCTGGTGCTAATCTATATTAAAAATTTATTTTAAAAAGTGGCTCTTGGTGAAATCCTCAATTTTAGCGCGTACAGTTTTGCCCCCGCTATTCTTGTCACTCCTCTTGGTGCCTTGAGTGTTATCATAGGGTATGTCATTTTTAAAAATCTTTATGGCCAGTAATTCGAATGACTACTAAATAATTTTGTATAGTGCCATCTTCGCTTCCATCTTCTTGAAAGAGAAGTTGAACGGAACTGGCAAAGTTGGTTGCTTGCTCTCACTGGTTGGTGCTGTTATTATTGTACTACATGCCCCGGAGGACAAGGAGGTCACTTCTATTGATGAACTTCTTTATTATGCCCTACAACCTGGTAAGTAAATTTGTCATTAATGAACTCATCCCCTTCGTCCAAAATGCCTAACCATCCGTCATCTTAGCATTCGTTATTTACTGTATCATTGTTGTGTCGGTCAGTTTGTGGTTGATATACAAAGTCGTGCCCCGTTACGGTACCACCGTCCCACTCGTGTACATTTCCATCTGCTCTTTGGTTGGCTCCGTGTCTATCATGGCCATCAAGGCCTTTGGTATCGCTCTCAAGTTGACGTTTGCCGGAAACAACCAATTTACGCACCCTTCTACTTATGCATTTGGCATTGTCGTCGCGGTGTGCATTATAACTCAGATGAACTACCTTAACAGGGCTCTGGACCAGTTTTCAACCAACGTTGTAAACCCTATCTACTTTGTGTTTTTCACTACTGCTACCATCACTGCATCTGCCATTCTTTTCCAAGGCTTCCAGACCGATAATCCAGTTAACACCATATCGCTTATTTGTGGTTTTATCATCATTTTCTCTGGCGTTTACTTGCTAAACTCCATTGCCCAAGGAGGCGCTGGCGCTTCATCTTCTGGTCGCGAGGCCGAGAATGCTCGATTGTTGATGAGTGAATCCACTTTACTCGAAAATGAAGAAAGCTTAGGCTTAACGGAGCTGAATGACAGCGACGATGACATAGAGTACGGTAGACGGTAGGATAGCCCCTGAAAGTCCCTCTTTTTTTCTTCTTCTTCTTTGCGTTTCCCATCCTTTCCATTGTATTTCATACAAGCTCTTTCATCGCTTTGGTATCCTACCACGTTTTTTTTTTTCTCTCGTTCCCCTGGCAACTTATTTCTATATACACACAAGCACGCTTTTTCTATCTCTGCATCGACATCATTATAAAAATCATGCTTTTGGTCGTTTGGAGTCGTTAATTTATACGTGGATTTATCAAGTGCTTTGAGAAACGGAGCTGTAGTATGTTGAAACGCCCAGTTGCAATGGGGCAACAACCTTCTTCAACACACTGACGCTCTGAACTTTATCATATGGGGAATTTTTATTCTGTACAAAACAGGAGAATTTTTTTTGGAAAAATAGCAAAGCATCAAAGGTAATGGAGAAATAAGAAAAAAAAAGAAGTACGAAAAAATCTACGCTACAGCTTCCGAGCCCGTGTACTTAGCAACGGAAGTCATTCCCATAATCTTGAATCCGCTTCCACCACGAAGCTTGACAATACCATCGACACCATCAACACCAATAAGATGGCCAATCTGTCCACGGTATTCTCCGGACACGATCTTGACGTTGTCCTTTTTGCCCGGCTTGACAATTTCCAAGTATTCCCAACCAACTTCCAGTTCATTACCACCGCTGACAGGTCGAACTTTGCAAACTCGCTTGCTGCGATCGACATGAACAATGCTAGCCTTTTGTCCAGCATGAGCCCCTCCGTCAAATTCGGAGCCGGATGCTCGGTCTTTAATGAACGATACCTCGATATCAGGAATTGGCCATTCTTCTCCAGTAGATTGAGCTAAAAGGAAAAGAAATAAAGGTCAAATTAGTTTTCAGACAAGTAGTTCACATGAAATCATTTTCTTCCCAAACTACGTACAATCTTCCGCTTGGTTATAGTCACCACCAGTAGGCATAAATGGAGTTTGCGGCATTTGACCAGCAGCTGGTGTGGTAGGCAAATAATTGCCAGGTGTAGGAGCAGAAATCATATGGGCGGCAGGCGTAGGAGCCGTCAAAGCCGCAGGTGTCATTGGTATCATATGGGCACCAGGAGTAGGTGCAGCTTCATATGGAGTAGGAGCAGTATTGGGCCCTGGAGTGCTGACCTTGTTTCTATCATTATTGCTACGCCATGCACTTGGTGTGGGCCAATCTTCGCCTCCCTTGCCCCAAACTCGGCTATCCGCGGCAGGTGTTCTTGCTCCAGCATTCCAATGATCATCTTCTCCACCATCAGTAGCTCCTCCACTTCGTCTTGGTGTTTTACTGCCAGAATCCCATGCCGGCGTTTTAGCCCCTGCTGGTGTTCTGGGTGCCTCCATAGCATACGGGTTGGGAGTTCGTGCTCCTGCATTCCAGGCAGGTGTCTTGTTTCCATCCATACTGTATGGGTTAGGAGTACGTGCACCTGAATTCCATGCTGGAGTACGGGAACCTGATGAATAATGCATGGGTGTCATGCCACCATCTCCAAAACGCTTGGGCGTGGATGGAGGTGGGTTGTAAGGTGATGGACTAGGAGATGCAAAAGCATCGGGTTCGGCAGCTGGTCCAATAGTACCTCCGTGAGAATCCAGGATAACCAATTTTGATTTTTCAACGGTAATGATCTTGCAGTTGGTATGAAGCTCGACTCTTGCCATCGAATCCGTTGTATCCTTGACAATACCCATATAACCTTTATGAGGACCTTTGGCAATACGAACAGTCTGTGATATTAAATTATCCCGGCCACCACGACCATGACCAAAGAATCCTCCGCGACCTCCCCGACCGCCACGTTCGCCACCGCGACCACCGCCGCGACCACCACGATCGTTAAACCCGCCTCTCATACTTCCATTGCCATATGGCTGTTGCTTAGTAGTATCAATAGCGGTATTCACCTATGAAATATAGTCGTTAGTATACATCCGTATTGCCCAATACTAGGTGCTTTTGAAGTACTTACGGCTCGACCTCCTTTAGCAGCAATACTGGCGACATTGCGAGTTCGCGTCACCCACACACCAAAGTTTTGTACGTACTCTCTGGAATGCAGGTAAACAAGCTGACGATATAGATGTAGAATCGTCCCAGATCGTCGTTCACCATCCTTTTCAACAACGGTATCGCCGGCCTGTATGCTGTTTCCGTTTGCATCGGTAGCTACAGCTCTCTTACTGTCACGCTTATTGGTAATCTGATGTGGCTGAATTGTTCGTATTTCGCCGTTCTGATCCAAAACTCTAAAGCTGTCACGATCCACCTTGATAATGACACCGACCGTATAGAAACTAATAAAGATGGTTAGTATGGCGATGACAGGCATGCTAGTAGGATAGATTGTGTTGAATGAGACTTACTCAAGCTGAACCAGATCATGCAATTCATAATTGCCAATCATTGTCTGGCCAAGTGTTACTTCAGCTGCTTCTCGAAGATCTTTGGCGAACACAGTAACTTCTTTCAAGGAAAGATCACTGAGCATAGTAACAACGCTCTCTTTGACGCTGACAATAAGACCTGTCTCGTCTTTATAACGGCCATTGATGACCTTGACATGGTCACCCTCTGTGAATTTCTTGCGGAGTTGACGTGGAGGAAGCTTAACAAGTCTTTTAAAGCCTTCAACATTCAAGTTGACAGTGACTGAGCCTCCTTCTACACTATCAACAACACCATAGGTATGCAACAAGTCACCTTCTGTGACTTCGACAGTGTCTCCGATTTGAAATTGGGCAGGTAAAGAATTGGCCACAGAACTGTTGGTAAGAGTGGACAAATCCAACCCACGCTCTCCGTCTTCGCCACCTGAGGCAAACTTCGTGACTTCATCCAGAGTAGGGTTAATGTCTTCGAGAGTCTACGAAAGATAGAAGAAAAAATATCAACTTTGGGTTATTTTTCCAAGCTTGTATAAGAAAGAAAAAATATTTACCAGTCCCGTCACTTTCATGTCCTTTTCTAAATAGCCATCTTTGAAAGTGTCAGATCCGAGGTGCCAGTATCCACCCTTCTTTTGCAAGCTGGAGGTAAGAGCCTTGTTATTGAGCCTCTCTGGGTTGAACAGCTTTTGTGGTGGTCTATATGTGCCCTTCTTCCGCTTCTTGTCATAATCGTCACGATCCTCGAGTTCCAAACGCGGGACCAATCGCACACGCACTACGTCTTGTGAATCGGCAATATCGATTATTTGAGCCAAATCTCCAGCATACTTTCCACGTCTCACTCGCGCCCATCCACCCTGAACGATGTCCAGTTGCTTCTTGGAGACATTGATAGAATCGATCATTTCTTTGATGGGAACAAGCATCAAGGTTGAGAAATAGATGTTTGGTAGGTTCAATAGTGCCTTGAAAAAAAACAACCATGTTAAAAAGAAAGTTAAGGTTTGCTATCACTCATTTCTACTTTATTGCAAGAAGATCTTTACCTGTTGAACGTGCGCTTGTCTTCGAGCTTCGATATAAATGTAACCCTTCAAGGATTCGCGAGCAAAGACTGAGTAGATCTCCAATGGCGAATCACTGTATTGACGATCGAAAAACCGCTTCATCAAACTGAATATGATATCTCTTTCTTTTCCAGGCTGATATTTGATGGTAATTATTAGCTGCGTTGAAGAAGACGAGATCAAAGTAGATTCATACCTTGCATTTGATCATCCAAAGATTGGGATCATTGACACTTGGAAGCAACAGCTGCTGTGGAACATCTTCAGCGCCCCCCTTGAAAGACTGTACTCGATTGCGACCGCCGTACTTTTTATCGTAAAAGTCTGCCATTTGTTCGTCGTCCATGTCCTCGACCTCACGCCTGCGTCGGTCCAGGTCCAGATGCCGATTGTGCGCTGCTGTACCGGTTGCACTTTCATCATGATCTTCTTCAATAAAGCCATCTACTTAAATAGAAGATGATCAGTACGGCTGCCAGGTGGATTTGATGATTGAGCAGACAGCTTACCTTCTTTGCCATATTCTTCGTCGTCTTCTTCTTCTTCGTCGTCATCGTCGACTTCAGCCATTTCATCAATGAAAGGATTGAATCTTCTTTTTGACGGACGTGGCTAGAATCATTGAGGTTTAATAGACAATGCTCGTCAGTAAGGAGAGGCAACCTAACAGTGGTACTGGTAGAAAACTCACATTGTCGTCTTCATTATCGTCTTCCTCTTCTTCCTCTTCGTCATCGTATCTCTCGTCGTCTTCTTCAGGCTCTTCAATGTCGCCTTCGTCATCAGTTTTTCTGCGTGCCATTTTTCAGGTAACTTTCAAGTAAAAAAAGCAGAAAGGAGCGAGAGATCAAAGTGAGTGATTCTCATTGGTTTTTATAAAATATTCCAAGCCCTCACCAGCTTGCTTCCCGCCAACTGCGACGTCACGATCACATGACTCGTCTCTAATGGCGGACAACGGCATGAACATTTCTTTTTTTTCAAGGGCTTTACCGGTCACAACCAACATGCCTCAATATACACCATGGACCATGCCCTCTATGCTTTCCATGTTAAGGCGTAATCCGCTTCCTGTGCTTGCAGTTGTATTGATTCCTGGAGCATATTTCTTTGGAATCTCGGCAAGAGAAAAGAGTGACCAACAAGCTGCCATACAGCACATTCAAGAAGAAACACCAGAGCAAAAACGGGATCGCTTGGAGCGCCATAAGGCAGCTTTATTGGAAGAACGCAAAGTCGTGATGCTAAAAATGCAACGATTGGAGGAACTGGAGAAACAACAGCACCGATAGCACTAGTGGTCAAGGCAGGCTCTTGAAATAAAACGTCAAGCATTACTTGTATTCTAGACAATCATTTTTTTTCGTTTAATTCTATACACTTGGATATTCTTTCATGTAATTGATCTCTAAAAAATCAACACTTGTATCATATTTTTGCTTGATGAATGTTAAGCTTTTTGTCCTCTCCTCCGCTTAAGATTTTATCTCCATCCCAGTGGACACTGTAGATCTTGTCCTTCTTGTCCTCTTCCTGGATTGTGAAAAGTGATCCTTTGCTGCGAATATCCCACACTCGGACTGTTGAGTCGTAAGAACCTGAGCATAGAGTGTATTCCGAATTGGGAGACCAAGACACTGAAGATACCCAGTTGGTGTGACCTGTCAACGACATACTAACGGCAATAGCATCTATCATAAACGCATAAGTATCTGTTGTTAACTACAGTCCCAGTATTTCTAACCGAACACTCACCATCAGCTCGTGGATCCCAAATTCTGATTATTTTGTCTCCATGGCCAGTTGCAACCATTTTAGACTGGTTAGATTGAGCAACATCCAATACAACTTTTTCACAGTTCTACGAATCGGAAGGGTCAAAACCAATAACCTGTTGAGCAAATGCTATTGAGGAAACTAACCTTAGTTGTCACATTGACTTGCTGTTCAACATCCCAGGATCTTATAGAATGATCCCATCCTCCTGTATACACAATGTTGGAATCTTTGTTATCGAAAATAACGCTGGTAACAGGACCAACGTGTCCATTCAAAGTTTGACAGAAAGACTATAAATGTAAAATTCTGTCAGAAGAACCATTGTAGTGTTGTGTCATAAAATTAACTAGCTTTACCTTGACTTTGTGACTCTCTGTGCTGTCAGTCTTTCTTCTCTTCTTGTTCTTTATATCGAGGAATTCAATAGACTGTTCTTCACTGGGGTCTTTGACACCCCAAACTTTGACAGTAGCGTCTGCTGAAGCAGTAGCAAACTTCTTTTTGGTTTGATCTACTGCAACTGCCTCTACTGAGCCCTTGTGACCTTTGCATTGATACAAGACTCGGTATGAAGAGTCTACAAGAGAGTACTGTGAAATTTGTACATGCATATGATTAGAATCATCAAACGAAGATGCTCATTAAATACCGCTTGTATGACACTAACCTCCCATGCTATTACAGTCTGATCTAAAGAAGTGGAATATACCACAACCTCATTGTCTAATAAATCAAATGTCAATATTCGATCATATAGAGGCAACATGTTGTATTTCGTATGCATACCTGTGGCGGCTCCAAATGCAACACTCTTGACGGCATCCGCATGCCCTTCCAAAGTAGCTACACATTCTCCAGACATATTCCACAGTCTGACCATGCTATCGTATGAACCAGTCAAAAACAATCTGCAATATATTGAAAGGTATTTGTAAGAAGATGAACATAGTTTCTTGTTCGGGGTGGCAAGATATTGGACATACTGTGATGACTGCTGTCCTTTAACAGAGCTGATCCAGTCGTCATGTTGGAAAGCAGAAACAGGAGTTGGCGGCAGCATAGACTCGACATACTCAATACTGATTACGTTTTCCTAAACGATGAACGCAAGTAATACATAAGTCAACCTGCAGTGAACAATGCTTGATATATGTTAGCTCTACTTACAGATGAAACATTATTCGCCACCAGGTATTGGGACAAGCTTGTACGCAAGAGTTCTCCATTGATGAGGAAATCAAACGGAATCGGTTTATCTGGACATCATACGATAAGAGTTGGTAAGCTCCATGTCGCAATTACATTAGCTGTTTTAGCCAGTCTTGCTTACCGTTGCCGAGCAAGTGATTTACGATGCCAGATAGTCCATAACGTTTGAAATTTGCTGGAACAAAGATAGCTGATTCCGTAATAGCATATTGCTGCTGCTGTGTAGTGAATCGAACCTGTACTTGCTCTGATTCAGTTGTTTCTGCCATTATGTCTGAATCTGTGCGTCAAAGTTTGCCTCTACCCTTTTTTTTTTTTTTTTGAATGGCTACGAAAAAAACCAACTCAAAAATTATAGCAGTCAGATCACGTGGAACTGTCGCGTCGTTTGCTGGAAATCGGCGCGACATTTTCAACGCGATAGCGCAATCCTTCAGGGCATTAGCCACCATGGAAATGAACACTGCCCCATCCAACACATCTTTTGATGAGCTGCATCTACTCATTAGGAGAACAGCCGAGAAATTCTCTCCGGAGAGCGATCTATCGCTTGTGCAAAACACACGAGAAACGATGCAGAGAGTAAACGAGGTGCGAGCGAAACAACATTACCATTCCCAAGAAGAATTGCGAGGTATGACCACAAGATAATGCTAAAATCATCTTCTAAAATTGTTAATAGTTTTCACTTGATAGCACTCATGCGACAGTTGGAAGAAGCACGCATTCAAGCTACACGACCAAACGATGTGGTTGATGACCGAGAACACATAGAAGCTCTCGCACAGAAGGATAAAGAGAAATACCATTGGGCAAAGCAAGCTCTTGAATTAGAGAACGACAACCATACCCTTGAAGCTCAAATACAGTCACTTCGAGGACAGATTGATGAAATGGAAGCTCAAGAAGTTAAAGTTGAAGATACCATTGACAAAACTACGTGAGTGCTGCTGTTACTACCGTATTATAGCCTGGTTTTACCTAGAATACTGAACATTGTTTGAAATGTAGACTGCAACTTCAGATCTATCGAGGATTGGGCATTGAACTCCTGGATGACGGAAATGGCCAATTTGTTAAAGCTCGTATACGTAAGTCAAATAGTTGGCAATCATCAGAGAATTTACTTTCAATTCGGCTTATGCAGAATTCTACTCTCTAGATTCCACAAGATTGAATGACATGAACACGCTTCCACTCAACGACAAGTACTCTCCTTTCTTCTATTCCAACTACCTCTGGGAAATGTGCAGCTAAATCCTTTGGCTTTTATGACTCCATCCTTGTACCATAATGCTTCAAATTTTATTCTAACACCCACCAATATACATAAATGTTGTTGATAATAATTACCAATACCAGTAAGAGATGATATATTCGTAATATGGAGCCCTTGCTACTCTTTCTTTACGGACTTTATTGGATAACTATCAGCAATGACAGTTTGTCAAAAACCCATTATACTGTTGTAAGCGGATCAATAGGGATACCTGATTGGCTTGTGAGCTCACGTGGGTAGGCTTAGCGCGTTATCTCACGCATAAGTTTGCGGCTTTTCTCTTGTAGTTTACAACTGCCGTAACTTTACACCCTTATTTACTGTACTTTTTCACTATGGCCGTCAGAGAACAAGTTTATGACCTTGTTGAACCTTTTGATACTGGGTTCTTAAACGTCACAGACATTCACACTTTGCATTACGAGCAAGCTGGCAATCCGGTAAGCTATATTATTAAGTTTGGTTCCAGCAAATACCTACTAAACAGATTGAAACTACATTAGAATGGAAATCCAGTAGTTTACGTTCATGGTGGTCCTGGAGGTGGCATAGGTCCTTCTGACCGTCAATATTTCGATCCTAAGACCTATCGTATCGTATTGTTCTCTCAACGTGGCTGTGGTCAAAGTACACCTTCCTCGTGCCTAGAAGAGAATACAACTTGGGACTTGGTAGAAGATCTGGAGAGAATTCGAAAGCACTTGGGTATCGATCGATGGGTTGTATTTGGCGGATCGTGGGGATCTACTCTCTCGTTGACCTATGCTATCAAGCACCCCGAACAGGTCAAGGCACTCGTTCTTCGAGGCATTTTTACGCTAAGATACAAGGAACTCGCTTGGTTCTATGAGAATGCGAATGGTGCTTCCTTTATTTACCCAGGTAAGTAAAACTTTACTCCCAACAAGAAATGGCTATCCTAGAAACATACTGATTCGGAGTATCCATAATATAGATGCGTGGGAAGATTACATTTCCATTATCCCCGAAGAAGAGAGAGGAAATGTTATGCAAGCCTATCACAGAAGACTGACTAGTGATGATATGGCCGTTCGTGAAGAAGCAGCAGCCGTGAGTATTTGATTTCTACTGATCTGAATGTCTATCAACAATTATTAATCTGTCTATTTCACGATGATAGAAATGGTCAGCTTGGGAAATGTCCACCAGCAGATTGTTGCTAGATGAACAAGCGGTGGCTAGAGCTGACGACGGCAAATTCGCTCTGGAATTTGCGCGTATTGAGAATCATTAGTAAGTTCTATTCTAACGTGATTTCAAATACGAGTGAAATGCTAATCCTTCTCTAAAGCTTCGTCAACAAGGGATTTTTTGAAACCGATTCCTGGATCATTGATAATGTGGACGTTATTAAGAAGCATAACATTCCTGGAGTGATTGTCCAGGGAAGGTAGGTTTTGATCATGACATTGGCAGGTGAATGATAATGCTCAAGAGTCTGATATCGAAATTTCTGCCTAGATACGACGTTGTTTGTCCTGCCGTCACTGCTTGGGAGCTCCATAAGGCATGGCCCGAAGCTGAATTTCATATAGTTCCTGATGCAGGACATTCTGCTAAAGAGGCAGGAATTTCTGCTAAGCTGGTGGCAGCGACAGAAAAGTTCAAAGACTTGTAACATATGCATTTAGCGCTTTACATAAAGATATGAAAGAGTTTGAATCTTCTGAATGGTACCTTTTTCTTCTGAGTAAAAGCGGCCTGCTAATGTCACGGAAACCTAACCCAAATGTCTGACAATCCTTTAAATTAACGACACGCCGGCTTACGCTTGACTTTCAACCATGGCCAGCGACAGAAAAATTGCCATAGTAACTGGAGCCAATTCCGGTGTTGGTTACGGCATTGTCGAACGCCTTCTCGAGTGGGATTGCGACAACCTGATAGTTGTGCTAGCGTGTAGAAATGAAGCGCGGGCCATGGTTGCCTGGCAATCGTTACTGCAAGAATTCCCAAAAGCCAAGATGGACATCCTGATTGTCGACCTTGGAAACTGTAAAAGCGTATTGAAAGCATGCAAAAGAGTCTATGAAAGGTATAAACTTTTCTTTGACAAAAAATGGTAGTACAGCTGTCCATAGGTAAACTCAATACGAACCTAATTGTTACTTAACAGGTACAAGCGACTTGACTTCCTCTATTGTAACGCTGGACTTCTCAGTGCTTCTGGACTTAGATGGGGCGAAGTTATCACCTTATTTTTGAAGAATCCAGTCAACTTCATTGAAAGTTCGGACGCCACACAGCAGATTGTAGGAGAGATAAATGACGATAATGTCGGTCTAGTGTTCGCAAGCAATGTACTAGGACATTACTTCATGGTACGTGAGCTAGAACCTCTACTGAAAGCTTCTGGCGATGGCAGAATTATCTGGACCAGTTCAGGCACAGCTGCGAGTTCGACATTTTCCATAGATGACTGGCAGGGCATCAAAGCGTATGTGATCGACTGAAGACTGAACCACGAGATGGATGAACTGACGCTCACGTGCTTTTATTCTTAATCTCTAGAGAAGAGCCATATGAATCATCAAAATGGGCGACCAATATTGCTGCCCTTTATATGAACGAGCAATTTAAAAAGGACAACGCACCTATTACATCCGTTATTACCTCACCCGGTGTCGTTGCTAGCAACATCGGTAACTTGCCTGCATGGATCGGTCGAATTAGACGATCGGTCCATTATGCTGTTAGTATCAGGAGAATGTTTACGCCCCATGTCCAGAGCAAGCGTATTTAATTTCTTTTGTTTTAGTTCCGATTTGGCGGTTTAACCTCACAGAATATAAACCCTTACAATGGAGCCATATCCAATGTCTACTGCGCTCAACTACCATGCAAGGAACTGGATCCTAACGTTGTGTATAGCTCTTGCACTGATCGATGGGGCTACTCCTTTGTCGATTTGCATCCAATTCAAAATTACACTCCGGAAACGGCCAAAATCTTGGTTGATCGTTGTGAAGCACTTTATCAAGAATGGAAATCAAAAGTTGAAGCAGAACAGGATTGAGTAGTTGATTACGATTTTGACTTCTATTGCTGCAATAGCCGATCATTGGGTGGTGTACATCGAACGAGTATGAAAGGAATGGGATAACAAAAAATTAGTCTACAGTTTTCTGCTTTAATATAATACAATATTTACAATCATAAATGAATCATCCGTCTACGTTATTACTATTTTGTTGATGTATCTTGTTTGATACGTAAGTACATGTTCATTTCTTCATCGCAAAGATCTTTGTCGTCCAGCGTTACCTTGTCCAAGTCTCGATGTGCGTTGTAGGACCATGGGAACTGCTCCCGATATTGTATAGTGTGTTCCAATTGCCTACGTTCAGTTGCACTTGTGTTTAGCAGTTTCTCTTTGCTCATTCCGTTTTCATGCAAGAACGCTAAAGTTCTCAAATCCTGTTCATCTTCGATAGACAGAGACATCGGTTCCTCTCCAATGATGAATTCGAGCTTGCGTTCGAGATGTTGCCTCATTTCTTCTGACTTTACAAATGCCGGAGGATTATTCAAAATACTGGGGACTTTGTTGTGTACCGAGCTTGGTTCGGCAAGCGCATTCACGTTCTCATATATGTCCTCGCCAGCTGCGCCCTGTGATTCTGGGCTTTCTTTACCTTTTATCAAAGGTTTAGGAGATACAACACAGTCCAATTTTAATATATCTCGTATGAAAGGCGTCGGATCTCTGCATTTCTTTCCCGGCCCGGCTCTCCATGGAAGCTGTTCAGCTCTGCCGCAAAAAAGTTTTCTTAACTCGATGTACCGTCTGTCAAGGTTGGTTTCAGATATCAAGTTTGCGGTCGCCAATTGTTTCAAAATCTTTCGACGATAGGGTCCTGAGACTGCACGTTCGTTTAGCACGTCCGAAGCTAATAAAAGGCATGAAACTACGAAAGACGAAGAACCTCTGCCAGTATGGTATAGCAATTTCGATGCCGTGCTGAGGACTTCGGTAGCGAGATTTATCAGAGCTGCCATTGTGAAGGTCTTTGACTGTTTTCCGTTTTGCATGGCAAGTATTTCATAATTATGCGTAGCTGCATCGTGAAGGTATAAGTAAGGATCCCAATATCCTTGAGGGAATACCGGTTTTAAAATGTATAGAAGGCGTCGATACTCCACTCCAACCGCTTGAGCTGATACTTGGCAAAGTGAAGCGCACGCTCGCAAAGGCATTGGTTTCATCTTCATCCTACGGAGAAGGTATGCCACTGCTACCGCGGTTATTCTTGTCGAAGCTGTTCGACGTTCGTTCAAAAATTGTCTGATGTATGTATATCCTATCTGTAGATCGTCGCTGGTCAATTGCATGTGTGGAGCCAAGCGCTGAAGTTCTAAACATGTTCCGTTTGAAACCTATGAAAGGATGAAGGTCAGAATGGATTTTCGCTATCATCAAAAATTAAGTATATTCATTTACATGGAATACTTTAGGCTGGTTGCGCCATTTTGCTAATAAAGCGTCGGTCTGACCGTCCAAAGTTGGTCTACTGGTATAGTCTATGAATTGATGTTGATAATCGGTATCGTCCAGTACGTGACCACAATTGGAACAATAGATAAGTGATGTGTTCTCAAGATCAGTTTGCCGATGGGAAGCATCTGCATCACAAGAAGGACAGTGATCTGCAGTGGCCATTGGTAAGAAGTGGTCAAATGACAAAGGTCGGTAGAGTTGTCCCGCAGCTTCCAGAAGTCACAGCCCTGATATAAATTCGATCTCCGCTCAGCGATCAGATTTTTTTTTGCCCATCGTCCAACAAGGATAATGGCCGATATGCACCAGCAGCTAAACAACAAAACAAGAAGTTTCCATACCACTTTATTTGTACCATCGCCTCTGACGCCTCATATGTGGTTTTTTTTTTATTTCCTTTCACATAGAAGCGCTCACATCTGTTAAATTGTAACCTATATAAACCTTTGATATTTCATAATATTTGCCCGTACATGTGTCAGCATATAAAGCGGGGAAATTGTGTTCTGTTCCCAATCGGTAGAAGAGAACTCAAATGGAATATTGGCAAAAGGTGTGAAACCCCAATCATTTCTTTCACATGTACCAAGGATGGTCGTGTGAAAAGATACGTTCCGCGAAAGAATACTGAATATTTTATATATCAGAAAATAATTACATGATGCAAATTGCATTTGGAGGAGAGGCTACACCTCCCATCTTGTTCAAAGGTGCGGACGTGAAGAAGAATTCATAGACGCCAGTTTTAGCCGCTTCCTCAGCCAAATGTTCGAGATTGAACAATTCACCAATAGGCATACCCCATCTGCAAACAGTAAGACTTTGTTAGACATTTTAAATCGATAACAACAAATATATAGTACATTATTGCTTACCCTCCAAGAAGAATAGCATCTGTTGCATGTTGAAATGAATGGTTTAGTTAGTTGTTCTTCACTTTTTCAAGACATCCATGCTACTAGTTTTACTTACGCATTGCGTTATCCAATCCGTTGGTTGGTGGCCAAGCTTCAAAAGCAACGGTATCACCTGCAACAGTGGAGAAATGGTGATTCCATATCCACTCCAAACTTTCATCGCATGGCTTGACGCCACATACCGCGGCCACTTCAGCAAGGCTTGCCTTAAGTTCGTCATTTGCATTGTTGTATGCTTCAGTGAAGCCGCTACGAATGAGAAGGATATCACCTTCCTTAAACGTAACACCTTGTTCCTCAGCGACTTTGTCCAGATCCTTGATGTCGATCTCGTAGCGTGTCAATGGGTCGTATTCAACGCCGTGTTTCACGGCCCATCGACGAAAATCAAGAAGAACAGCACGGCCAGCAATGCCTTTTCTTGCCAAATGGTGGATTCCGAGCTTTTCATTTCCTGATCGGACATCCTTTGCAGTGGTATTGTTGTAGAAAACTCCAGGTGTGTGTCTGTTACACACATGTCCAAGGCCGTCCCATTGACTTGAGGACTGCGTGTTCCAGTTGTTATAGACATCATCGAAAGCACAATCTGGCATCAGCTCCTTGATAACATGTTCAAACCCTCCACGATTGAACATGGTATACTTGTTTTCCATAGTCCAGTTCATCGGGAAAAGCTTGCCAGTGCGCACCAACTTGGACGCTTCTTTGGCACGTTCAGTGGTTAACAAGTTCATTGTTCCCAAACTGTCATCATCACCCCAGAGACCCCAAGCTGATTTAGCGGGATACTTTGCATCGATAGGAAGATCTTTGAACGAGGGAAGTGACATAATGACAGAGAAGTGACTGAAGTGGAACTTTGTTAAGAGCATGAATCCTATTTTATAGTAAGCGGAATTTGGATGACTGTACAGAAATGAGGTTTTACCCATTCCCAAGGTATCCCAACTGTGTCTCATAACGAATTTGCGGAACGACTCAAAATTGACAATTTTGACTTATTAAAGTGTATGTCAAGCTCGAACAATCTACATGTTTATTTAATTTGCCTCGGTCTATTCTGATGGGTATAGATTGTCAATTCAAAGACGTAATGGGACTCTACCGGCCGTTCTTTCCGGGTTCGTCCATAAGCTAAAATACTTAAAAATGTTTGTAAGCTCAATAGTCTATGCAGTTTTCGTCTTTGCGTCATGGGCTCGATAATAAAGATGATATCAATGCAACATGCAGTTTATATAATACGATTTACAAATCTGATTAACAGACGGTACGCTAGTGTCTCAAAATTCTTAATTTTAATCTTCATCCGATTCCGGCATGTCGGTAGTATCTTCATCCGGGGAGAAGGCCACTTTCGCATTGTGACCACTAGTGTTGCCAGCAGAGGAAGGTTTCCAAGTGCCGTCGTGCATGGCTAACTGATCCTTTTTCCGCTTGGCGTCGAGAATAAGGAAAGATTCGGTTAGAGTTTTCTCCTGCTTTGTGAGTTCCTTTATGCCATCTTCTTCGACAATACACGATGTCTCGAAATCCCAGTCTTCTCCTTCGGCAAAATGGGTGAATTTCATGTATCGATCAGGCCAGCGATTCTTATCTCGCAGAAGGCCGCCATTCCACCACCAAGGTCGACCATCAACACCAAGGTGAAGTTGGTTTCCGCATACTCGCGTTGGTTCACCACCATCACCTAGTCCTCCAATGACAGCGCCGTAAGAGCTGACGAACGCGTAAGGAGTCTGCATCATTTCATAACCAACCCAGAATGTCTGTATAAAACAAAAATCGATAATAAATATCATATCCAATTTGTCAAAATGCAGTTTTAAGACCATCGACCTACCTCTTTGTCACCATGTACTCGATCGTAAGTCACTTCGTCACGCTCACGTTTGTCGTTCATTTTACATGTTGACATTAAACCAAGAGCTGCTTTACGCTTGTCGATGACAACAACTCCGGATTCTTGCTCGTGCGATGAGCGCAAAGTGAACCATCTTGTCTTTCTAACAAGAGAACTCATAGTGGGTAAGAAGGACAGCATCCACTTTCTTCCGCCATCCCAGTCAGCGAACAAGGTTCGATCATAGAAGAAAAGGGAGCCTGTTTTCTTGTAACCTGCATCTTCCAAGAAGGATTCGGGCTTTTTGAAAAAGAACACATCAGCATCGGAAAGGATAACTTCGGTGAAGCTGGATGCCAAAATAGCGAAGGGCTTCATAGCCCAGCCGCCAAACTGTGTCCACGTGTCATCAATATACTGCGATAAGTCAACAGTCTTGACATTGGTAAATTCCGTCTCAAAATACTGGCGCTTGACTTCAGAGAGATCATCATCGTTGATGTAAAAAATTTCAATGGGGATGTTGGATTTGTGAGCTTCTCGAATAGAGCGAATGGTTGTAGCTGCATGATAGAACTGATCGTTGCCGACACAGAAGATCATGCCTGCCCCCTTGCTCTGCTTTTGCGCATCAAATAAACTGATGTACTGGAGATGCAACCACGGGTATAAAACAGTCTCCAACTGAAGAAAGAGTTCCCATGTATCCTTGAAAGGAGGTTGTTGAATGTCTTTTCCATTGGACTGCAATTCATCGAGATACTGGAAGAGAGCCTTGTATGTCCTCTCTTGCATAGTCAACGATTTGAAATTGGGCCGGTCTTCAGGCTGGGTCAACAAATTCATCCAGTCTGATTGACCTTTTACTGACAACAAGTACTCCGTATCCGAAAGATTCCAGGGCTTAGAAGGGTGAGGTACGGCAATGTCGTAGGACTGGAGGAGAACCTCAAGATCGGTGTCGTTGGCTAAAATCACTAAATAACAACGCCGAACAATCGCATTAATAAAATGGCTCGGTATACGACTTGAGGGTTTTAGCCTACTTACCAGGTTCCAAAACAGCCCTTCGTCCCTCAATCTCCTTTATTTTTGTCATTTTTCTTCTATCTTCGTCCTCTCTTAGCGTTTCTTGTTGATTGGCAATCAACTTCTGCATTTCTTCAGCATCTTTGGAAATACTTCGAGAAGAATAGTCTTCCCAAAAGTCTACACGAACTGTGATGGCTATGATGCCCATGAGTATGAGCATCAGCACAGCAAGCTGGATATGCCTGGACAAATCCCAAGATTGCGGCATGCTGTTTGCCGATAGAAACAAGGGGAGCAACAGATATCAATTTAGAGGAGCTTGAATGCAGCTTTAAAATTTTATTTTTATATCAGTTCAGGCACAGCGGGGAGCAACCAATCGCCCCTTCCCAGAGCATAGGAAAAATGCCAGCCTTATTGCCACTTCTGTCCAGCCTCACGATGCACTCTTGGCCCGTGAAACAAAGCTTGAGCGTTGGTTTAATTTCACAAGAAACAAGGCTCATATATTAAAATCCTTCTGCCGGCCACATCCAGCCCTTGGTGTCTGCTATATCGCCATTTTGAATAGCTTTGTACTGTTTATAAAGAGCTTCAAAGCCAGCGCCAATTTCAGTCTGTTCTCCAGATCCAATGTTGTAGGATTTCTCTCCTCGAGAAATTCTCTTTACGGGAGTGATTACAGCTGCCGTTCCACAAGCTGCGATTTCATCAAACTTGCCTTCCTCAATCTCACTGAAAGGAACATCACGCTCTTCGACCGTCCAACCAAGGTCGCGTGCTATCTCTACCAAGGAAATTCGTGTCACAGATCGTAAAATTGTCCGGCCGTTAGGTGTCACCAATGTAGTGACCCCATCCTTGTTGCTAAGAGCCACAAAGTTAGACGTGGAAAACTCGTCCACGTATGTATGTGTTTTGGAGTCGAGATGCAGGGTGATTGGGAATCCTTGCTTTTTTGCCTTTTCGGTAGGAAGAAATACTGGAGCGTAATTTCCTCCGAGCTTGAAAGAGCCTGTGCCCAGAGGAGCAGCTGATATAATGGGAAAAAAAATGAAACAAACGCTTAATGTCCATCCCACAAGCATAAATATGCAAATAAAAAATAAAAAGAAATGCTTACAGCGGTCAAAGTCTTCAATAATGCAAGCGTCGACAGGCTTAACACCATCCTTGTAATAGTTTCCGACTGGGACACCGAAAACGATGAAAGTAAACTCAGGAGCTGGCGACAACCCAATCATAGGGCCGCTTCCAAACAACAAAGGTCTTAAGTACAACGAACCACCAGAGCCATATGGTGGAACATACTCCAAATTAGCTTGAACAGTCTTCTTGATAGCCTCTAAAAAGATTTCTTCCGGAATTCCAGGCATGGAGCCGAAGGCGGCTGTCAGGTTCATACGCTTGCCATTTTCGTGAGGTCGAAACACGCGGATGCGTCCGTCCTTTGTACGAAAAGCTTTCAACCCTTCAAAACACTGTGCAAAAAAAATCAGCAACTACGCTGATGATAATTAACCATGTTTCTTCGAGCACCCTTTACCTCTTGACCATAATTCAAACCAGTCGAGCACATGTGAACGTTGAGGTAAGGATTCGTTTCTAGCGATCCTTCATCCCAACCATTCTCGGGAGTCCAGGTATATTTGGCATATCCATTGATATCACGGTATTGAAAACCGATGTTTTGCCAGTCAAGTTTGTCTGTAGGTGGTGTAGTAGGATTTGACATTTGTAACAGTTCTAAACGTAAAAAAAAGTGACTTTTACGTGAGACACAATGAGTGAACTGATTTTATTGGCTGAGCCCCGATAATTTCAGATGAATCATTTCCTCAGATCTTTATACTTTAGCCGAAAACGTTTAATTTCTCAATATTTTTGGCCACCTTGCAAAGTGTTTGCAATTCGATATATAGAATTAGATAAGTAAGATATAGAACTCGTGTTGCCAGCTTCAGAAATTTCTTCTGTGCTAGAATGGACTGAGTCGTCATCGCTGTTTTTGACAGACGCAACGGAGCCGGACGTCCGATATATTATGGACGAAAGCCAGGCAAACGTTCCTGTATTATCCGTCTGTTTAGACTCAGACTTGTCTAGCTTGCTTGAATCTGATTGCTCTTCCAATGCCTTTTCAACAAAGCTTTGATTCTCGTTGACTTTGTTAACGTATTCGACCTGCAAACTGTTTAACGTCGTCCGTAAATTTCCTATCTCCGCCAAAAGATCCTGCACAAGCTTGACCATGACAAAGAAGCTGCCGAGAGAAATTGTTTCCTGAGCCCATGGTTGCTCTTGATCCTTGACGCCTTGTTGAACCCATGAAAATCGACTATCCAATGCTTGAATATCTTGATTTACATTTTCAATGATAGAATTGGATAAATCCGTTAACTTGAGCATATCAAATGCACGATGCAGCCTTCGATTGAGAATTCTTATTTCCGTGCCGCTGAGTCTCTTCTGTAGATTAAACGCAAGGTCATATAGCACCTTGTATGGGTGACGTAACTCTTGTCCACCATAACTTGGTGAGTGGGGTGGTGAAGGAGTCACGAATATACTGGACTGAGATAATGGGGAGCCAAATTTGGTCTTCATAGGTGTACTGGTACTGCGCTGTGGGTTGATAGAGGCATCTCCTGCGTAAGTATCAACACTGATCATGCTCTCCGGCTTTTTAAACATTATTGGTTTTCCAGGCAGTGACTGTGACAGGTTTGACTTTTGCGCCTCTTCCAGCTTCGATAGTAGGGATATAGGTTGAGGTTTATGATTGCCGACATCCTCGGGCACGTTTACATTGAATCGAGGAGGAGAAGTAGCTAAGATACTGCTCGTCCATGATCCACTTAATTGGCTTGACATATCGGTTGATTTTGCATGTTTATGCTTGGGCATTGGAATAGAAAAATTATCCCTTGATTCTGCATTATGATGAATGTGGTCGTAATCCTCATCCTCGTCGTTCTTTGTATCATTTTCCGCTTCTTGTACACGTGAAGAAAGTGCTGAAATGGTCTCTTGTTGATTTAAGATTTCTCCTTTAAGCTTGTTATTTGCTGTGGCAAGCTCCTGAATTAATGAGATTAATTGAGCGCCTTGTGTTTCTTTATTGGGAGAACCTTTGGAAATCTAGTATGCACGATTGTTAGCATATTTCACATCTCACTTCGAGCACTTATTACCCTATCACGTACATGTAATAAGTCTTGTCGCATCTTGTTATTAGATTCCTTCAACCAAGCCAGTGCCTTGTAATCTTCACTGCTACTCTCCAGCTCTTTCATCTGTCGTTTCGTCATATGATATGATGCATGCAGTGCCTCTAATGAAATCCAACATATTTAACCCGCCATCCTTTAACTCAATAGCTCATCCTCACCACATAATTTACCGTATCGAGATTTCAGCTTTCGATACTTGGACTCGACCGCTGCTTCGTTTTTTTGTACACTGCTAAGCTCTTGCAAAAGGTCGTCAACCTATCATTATTAAATTGAGTGAGTCGAGGCCTACCATTGCCAGCGATACGGAGATTTAAGATCGTACCTTGCTCTGCATTGTTTGCTCCATAGAATGGCTCTGCGCAACTATCACTTGCAATGCCTTAATTTCTGCGATTTCTGACTTCTTAGCTTGATTTTCGTCCTCTAAGTTCTTACACCGTATAGAGATTATTTCGAGGTCTTTTTGCACAGCTTCTACCATCTATCAAGTACAAGTCATTCAGCATTATCCTACATTTATGCGACGAATTGTCACAATACTAACCTTTTTCGATCTCTCTCGTTCAGCAATAGCTCTAACTCGGTCGTCTTTCGCTTGCTCGTTTTCAATCTTTGCTTCATGGTTCAGCCTTTCCAACTCTTTCTTTTCGGCGGAAATTAATTTGATCTACATAGTGAAGCAAGCGGTTAACATACATGCCATCAACTTTATCCTTTAAGAGGAAGAACTCACCTTCTGTTCCAACTCGGCTTGAATGGCCTGAGCGTCCATTGTGTAGCGTTCATGCTTATGCAGCAAAGTTTGGCCAATTTCTGATTCAAAAGTTGCATAATATTGTTAGACTTCCTCACGTCATGAGCTGGTATTACCGTTCTTTACCCGTACCTGCAGCTAATCTTGCGTCTGATTCCGCCTTTTGGAGACTCTGCTCATATTGCTTCTGGCTTGGACATTCAATCTCGCCACAGCAGCAATTGATGTCAGTTGTGTCGTCCTGATGCGATTGTCGTGATGCTAGCAAGTATTCGAGACTGTCGCTCAATGGGTCATGTGAGGTGTTGTGGTTTCCTGGCATTTCTGCTGTAGAGCTGGGATCAGCCATGAGCTGTAAGTCGTAAACAAAATAATATTTCAACAGCTCTTTCCGGCTTTTTTGTACAATGGCTTCAGTCCAAATAGCTTCAGTCCAAACAAGAGGAGAATATTGTAATAAAAAGGTTTCAAGTTTCAATAGCAGTTTCAACTTACTTTTTAAAGTGGTGATACAACCCCAGAATGAGGACTACCTCATTCCTAACAGGCTGTAAATTAGGTACCTACTTTCAACTGGACTTACCGTCAGCTTTGGTACATTTGGAGTATTCGGTACTTGTGCTATTAATTTATTGTTTCTTCATCCAATTTTTGCCTACTGGTACTGTTTCCACTTTTGCCATACTTTGACTTCATACCTCTTTCATCTTTGATATTCACATGTGTGAAGAAGAACGGAATCTACGTTCCATTTACACCAGAAGAAATAATCGTATTTTATAAAGAAAAAAGAATTATTGTATTATACCACAGCATATTTACAGCCTCTATACCCATGCGAATATGAGCAAAAGATGTCAGCCCTCGGCTGCAAAATGCTACTGTTGAATTCTCATGTTTCCTTATTTGTGAATCTTTGTTCACCTGACGCAGCCAAATCCCCAAAAGTGCTGTGATCCATGACAAAACCATTCAATCCTTACCCACATGATAGTACACTATCTTTGACAAGCTAAGGGACATATCTTGCGTTTTGTTCGGATTTGAATGTACATCTCGAAGCACTTATACCTTTCCGACACTGTATTAACGAGTAGCATTCGTGTAAATGGTTCACATCTACATTGATAGTAGAAAATGTGACATGAGCGTCCTGGTGGGATTGTTTTCTTGACAGGAAGATTGTCTCTTTCTCGCTCGAAAAAGAAATTCAACTTGTCAACATCCATTGCATATTCCCACAACGAGAATGACCACCGGGTAGAAAACAACGGTTTGCATGCCATTTTCTATTCAGTGACGCATTTTCTCTCTTTTTGAAGATTACGAAACTCCTTTATTGTTTATGAAAGTTTCAATCTTTTTCAAAACACCTTTTATCACCTTTTCTCTCATCTTCACTTCAAATGGCCAGTGCACAACAAATGCAACTCAAGTATCCGACAGCGTACCATCTTCAGATCCTCAAAGATAGGCACCATTCAAACGATGGAAATTCGCTACCTATGGATGAAGACCGCTTTCTTACTGAGACTGGTTATGTGGATATGAGACAACTCAGTTACTTTTCCGATCTCGACGGGATTGGATCTCATGATTCCATGCCTTTCAAGGTCGCCTCTGAACCTTTGTTCACTGGCCCTTCAGATCCTATTCCTCCGTATCAAGTCGATTCGCTTACAATACACGGATCAATTCCTATTGGCATCAAAAACGCATATGCTCACCGAATGATACCAGAAGGCTCTAACCAGGCATGGTCGGCTCCTGATTCACCAAACCAAGCCCATTCTGGACTAAATTCTATTCCAACTCATCCATATTCAATGGATCATGCGAGCTTGTCTGCTAGTAGCTACGAGGACGATCCTAGGACACAAGCAAAGTAAGCAAATAAGGTTTTTTATTGAATGCTGCCACCATATCTTCGAATGAACATTCTCAATTTGCTTTTGTAATAGCTTGCAGCAGGCTATGGAAAGACGTCGAAGACGCAGAGAGTCTCATAACGCAGGTAAATCATGTGTGCTCCAAATATATCGGTGATCTTCTCATCAACCATCAATTTTCTTTCCAACGTCAATATTAGTGGAAAGACGGAGACGTGACCATATCAACGAATGCATTCAGGTACCGAACTTTGCCGCCATGAGGCAGGAAATTTTCCGCGCGTTTACTAACTATCATAGTAGAAGATTGGATTTTTACTTCCGGAAGACACGCCAGAAGGAAAATATAATAAATCCAACAAAGGCTTGATTTTGCAAAGTAGCATCGAGTTCATCAAATCCCTGGAAGATCAAATAGCACAGTATCAATCGCAGGTTGCTCAACTTGAAGCTGAACTTCGATTTTGCCGCAACGGTCACTAACCATTGTGAAGGACCTTCCTGTTCCAAGACTGCGGAGCATATTATACAGGAAACAGCAAGAATGCGCGTACGAGCGCCAAACCGAGACTTGAGACTGTAATGCCTTTTCCCTCGAAATTACGACTGGTTAGGTATGGCCGTAACAAGCTTTTTCTTTCATTTGCTGGCAATCCTTTCAAATATATTTATATTTTTCCTTGATTTTGGTTTTCCGGAAATCCCTTTTATACTCTACTCTTACGTATAACACTCATTTTCTTTACTTCACTTATGGAGAAGCTTGATTTGCATGTCACATTGCTTTTGTGCTCTCCCGTCGCTTGCTATCAAACATTGCCCTTTATATCATATATTTCTTTATTCTTTTGATAATTTTTTGTACAGCAACAGTTATAATATTCCATACGTATTCGTTCAAATGTCAATACACTCTCATCCGCCACATTGTGAATTGAATCAGCGAAATCCCATGACGTCGAAAAAAATGTGTCTGCAGTCCAAAAACACCAGCTCCGAACCGAACAAATCGACATAAACCAGAGTACCTCAAGAATCAAGTAGCCTTCCTCACTCAACCTCTATATACTACATCCATCACACCATGTCATCCCCAAACGGAAGTCGGATGCGCATTGGACAGTACAATATCATTAAGAGCATAGGAGTTGGCTCATTTGGAAAAGTCAAGCGTAAGCAGTTCACTGTCGATTGCAAGCGTTATTTTGCTACCTTTCAATGCTTACAAATTCAACATTCCTGCAGTGGCCGTTCATTCCACTACCGGACAAAAAGTTGCTTTGAAAATTATCAACAGGAAAAAAATTGCCAGCTTGGACATGGCAGGAAGAGTTAAACGGGAGATTCAGTACCTCAAGCTCTTGCGACACCCTCATATTATCAAGCTGTAAGTAAACTCTTTACCGACTGCTTCGCGAACTTGACACTAAAAATTATATCTTTTATTAGCTATGAAGTCATTGTAACACCGACAGATATCATCATGGTTATCGAGTATGCTGGAGGAGAGCTGTTCAATTACATTGTTGAAAAGGGCAAGGTAACTGCGCGACGACATGACACGGATCAGCTGTGGCGTTTTGTTTTCTAACGGGCCATTGTTTCGGCTAATAGATGGGAGAAGATGATGCTAGGCGATTTTTCCAGCAGATCATTTGTGCAGTAGAATACTGTCATCGTCACAAAATTGTCCATCGGTGAGTGTTTACATATGTGCTACCTCGTGCCATCCCGATTTTTTCATGCAGTCCCAGGTTAACAAGCATCTCTTCCAAACAGTGATTTGAAACCCGAAAAGTAAGTGTGGTGTATGAAACGTGGTCAAATGAAAAAATCTGCTTGCTAAACCATTTGCCGTGTCGTTTCTAGCCTCTTGTTAGATGACAATAATAATGTCAAAATTGCCGATTTTGGGCTTTCCAATATTATGACAGATGGTGACTTTCTTAAAACAAGTTGTGGAAGTCCAAATTATGCAGCTGTAAGTGTCCACTGATTCCACCTTGGGTGACGATAGGAATAGGTAGCTGATATTTTCTGTTATAGCCTGAAGTTATTTCCGGAAAGTAAGTAGATGTGTCATAGATCAGATTTACCAAATAGGCGGGCAACCTTTTAATCCAAGCATGATAGGTTATATGCAGGACCGGAAGTCGATGTATGGAGCTGCGGTGTTATTCTCTACGTTATGCTATGTGGTCGACTCCCATTTGATGATGAATACATCCCTACTCTATTCAAAAAGATTAATGGTAGATATGCCATTTCATCTTATATTTTGGTGATCTTGTACTAAATTCATATTCTCAGGTGGCATCTATACAACCCCTTCTTTTTTGAGCCCGGAAACAAAGTACTTGCTGACATCCATGCTGGTCGTGGACCCTCTTAAGCGAATCACTATTCAGGAAATCCGGCAAAATCCCTGGTTTAATGTCGGTCTTCCAGAATATTTGCAACCATTGCCAGATGCGGCCGAAACACTTTCACAGGAAATCGATGAATCAGTTTTGTCAGAGCTAAGCAAAGTGAGCATATGTTATCAGCATTTCGACGGAATTACAAACATACTTAACCATTTTAACTTTACTTTCTTCAGAAAATGGGATATAGTCGTGAAACTATTTATAAGGCTCTATCGGAACCAGATAATAATCAAATAAAGGTTGCTTACCAGTTAGTGGTGGATCATCACCGAATGATCAAAGAGTGTAAGTGCCAAAGCGTTCTCAAGATATGTATCGCTGGTGTACGTACTGACAGATCCTTATAGCCGAAAAACTTTCCAAAGATAACAACATAGAAAGCTTTTTTGCCACCTCACCGCCACCTTGGAATTCTCAATTTGAGGCAAGCTCTCACTTCAAACATTTCATACTCGCAATGACACTGTCTTCTTACCATGTTTATAGGAGCAGGCAAAGGAATCTGGTTATGATGGCAATAATCTTGAGGCTCCGTCCTCTATTGCAGTCTTGAGTTCAAGTTTACCAAAGGGTGACGATAGCATGAGGGGTATGTATGCGGTATCTATTACAAAAAATGGTTGATCGACCAATGCTAACCATTATTGTAGCACAAACACGCCCGTCGTATTCTGGACAGCCCATCATGCCAATGTCAGGCACTCCGCCTCCGGGTGCGAAATCTCCCACTTTGTCTAAAGTCAATCACAGAACTCCACCTGTCAACCGCCAACTATCTACTTCTGGCCCACCATCGAAGCGACAATATAAAGCAAGATCAAAGTGGCATTTCGGTATACGCAGTCGATGCCCTCCTTGGGAAGTCATGCTGGAAATTTTCAAGTCTTTAAAGAACGTTGGTTTCGTAAGTATAATTTCTTATGTGGAATTTTCTTCTCGTCAGCCTGACCACCATCAATTGACCATTCCTTCATTATTAGGAGTGGAAAGTTGTCGATCCCTATCATTTGCGGTGCCGTTATCGTTACGAGTCGGGTGTGATTGTCAAGCTTGATCTACAACTTTACAAATTGGATATCAACAGTTACTTGGTTGACTTCAAGAGCTTGGGACAAGTGATGGCCGAAGGACATTCTCCACAGAATATGAAAACCGACTCGATCGAATCGTACTCACCAACTTCAGACGACATGTACATGGTACCTGAAGAATTTTCATATGAAAATACTCTCAAAATGGCAAACGTCTTGTCTGAACAAGCCGACATTGGTTCAGAATCAGTTTTGAGTACATTCCCTTTCCTAGATGTCTGTAGTAAGCTCATCACAGAACTTGCCATCTCCACGTAAATGTCCTTTGTCACACGTTGTATTCTCTTTCCAATGTATTATATTTTCCCCTCATGTCTTTAAAGCATAATGAACCAAAAGAAAGCTGTGCATTTTTTTATTGAGGTCGTGCGTATATTTGAAGATTGATAATTCTATCCAGTATATCAGTTGACTCTCGCTTAATGACGACGAGATTCAGCAATGACGTTGGTGAGTTCCTCAACCTTTGCCTTAGCACGAACGAATGTACCAAGCTATAAAAGTAATGATGGTTAGGATTAATTTATGCTAATGCAGTTTATTAAGGTTGTACTTACTCTCTTCTTGCAGAGCTTCTTGGCACGCTTGTCCTTGGAGTTCTTGATCAATTCCATGATACGACGTTCATAAGGAGCGAAGCCAGTGACCTCACGGACGAGGTCGCGAACAAACTTGGTGCGCTTGCTTTGGACCTGTGCGTAAGAAATAGCGTTAGCGTTGGATGACATGAGAATGAAGACTGGTAAATTTGAAGAAAACGAATCGGTATGAGAAGAGACAAATATTATTGGCGAATTGACCGAATTGCTGTCGAAGCGTTGGAAATGGTGTAGCCCTTTGACCTTCACAAGCAACTTTCCGGAGAAGTTTCCACTGTTGTAGGGTTGAAAAGGTACACGTTGCCGTAAAATTGTGAAATTTGAAGTCCCAGGTTAATTGGTCTTCAGTATGATGGACATTTGACATTTTGAAACCGCAAATGTGCCATCGGCTGGCAGTAATGGTTGGTATTTCGAATGACGAAAGTTTCGTGACATTTTGAGTTGATATGATGGATGGATATGTTTACTCGATGTATGGATGTCGATGATAGATGAGTTGTTTCTGGTGGGTGATGATCGATGGATACATCCATGGGCTCATATGAAAAAAAAAAAAAAAAGAAGGTGGAAGAAAAAACGACAATGTAAGAGAGGAATTGAGATACATACACCCTTCTTGTAGGAAGGAGTGACCTTGAGCTCACGGCGGGCAGTGATGTGGCCTTTGTTCAGTCCGGTAGCAATGCCAGTGGCGGGCATGATCAAAGATGTGATGTGAAAGGAAGATCTACCCGGAGACAGACTGCGAGAAGCCGTCTCTACCCTGCGAATTGCCTAATTTGGATCTCACGTGATTGTGCGATGAACAGTAGCGGTTTCTTTTTCCACACCCCATTATAATAAATTGATTGTGTGCATCAACGCTAACCAACGCTACCAATAAATAAGACTTATTCTTATTCATTCTTTAAACCTTATATCCGACCATTTCTCTTAATGAAGTTTTGGAAAGGCGAAAATATTAGCTTATAGACTTCGTACGAGTAAGGCTCAGTGGATGCTCAAGTTCATGAGGTACGCATTGAATACTATGTTACATTTCGTAATAAAGCTCTAGTCAAGTTTGACACTGACTTTATCTTTTAAATTTACCAGTGGAATATCTGAGCAACCTGAAAATCGCCCTCTTTGCAAAAACTACGTATCCGTTTGCCGAGTAAAATATGATGAGATTTCATAATGACTTTCTATAAAGCGTTAGATAATTCAACAACTTTTTAGCAGGAACGAACTAACGTTTACTTGGTTTATTTAACTTCAAATCTCCAAGGAAATTTTTTTTGGCTTCTTTCTCCCGTTATTCTGCTTGTAATGTTGCATTTATCGAGTTTTATTTATCTCACTGTCATATTCAGGGTACATAAGCAGATCTAGGAAGTAAGGTGATTTATTCACTAGACTAATCACACAAAATATCGGCATCTTTCAGTGAAGTTTATCCAGCTAAACTTCCACAAGCCATGATATGTGGTGATGGAATAAAACGTAGCTTATAGAAATGTTATCGCTCAGATAGCTAATGGGGTGTTTGCTCTGCTCAAAAATTATCTGGAAATTTACACCCGCTCTTTTGCATAATATCAGGTATTTGGTATTTATGTAGAGGCACTCCTATAATCAGGTTCTTCCTGAAAAATAGATGAATGGTACATGTACCGGTGCGATGACTAGATTGCTGCTTACAATTATTTCCTCCTTAGAGAATGAGTACAATTACAATGAATTACTACGCAGTATATTTTACAAGCTGGTGTGTCATTGAGAGGAATGTATGCACCGAATTAAACATAGAGTCTTGTAATAGCATACTGAAAGACAGTACCAAACTGCTAAAAATTCTATTCAAAATATAGCACAGCATTCGCTGTATATAAAGCTACAACAAGCTCAACATAAAGGAAGCTATCAAAATATTTCATCTAATTTTTTCTTATAAGTATTCCAATGTTGTTAGACCTCTTTTCAAAACTTTAACGAAAGCTGGTGAACAGACGCATTAAATTTTTGTGGAACAACTCAGTAAAAATCAGCCCAAATGGCATCAGTAACATCTTATCACCCATAGATACAGTTCCACCACCGCCGTAAGCATACTTAGACACGAAGTAATTTTGATATTAATTATTAAATTCGCAATAACCAAAGTAAGAAAATGACAAAACAACGCGGTTTAGAACAAATAATTTTTTTGTTTAAATGCATTGTACTGTGTTAAGTATAAAAAAAGCTTTAAAGTGATTGAGCAAGGTATGAAGGACGTTTAAATAAGCCACTTGTGGTATACAATTGAGAATTTATATTAACAAGATAAATAACACAAAATTTACGATTTGACATCGAGCGGTTCTATGGTCTAATGGTTATGACTCCAGACTTTGAATCTGGCAGCCCGAGTTCGATTCTCGGTAGGACCTGCTTTTTTATTTTTTTGGGAGACAGCATTTGCCGCAAATCTTTTTGCCGATCGTTGTGGTTGACTCCGAACGAATTGTCATTTTTTGGTTTTATTATAATAAATGTTAGAGTGCTATATAAAGACGTCTGGTAAAAATATGAAAGCAATTACAAAAAGGATAATTTAAATTTGCATTCATTAAGCTTTTCCTCTTGGGCCCGGAATTTTTTACTGCGATTGTTGCGATGACACCGTGAGAACCAGCTTGCCGTGCAGTTTCAGTGAATTCCCCAAAAACACTGCATAGAAAGAACTCAAGTTTCCCAACTCAAATGTAAAACCCTAATTTCTACCGTCCGCATTAAAAGTTTTTTCAAGGTGTACGAATAATGCCAAAGACCCCTGTAACAAACATTTCAAATTTGGTAGTCGACAAGAAAACTGTGTATCATATGACATATCATCTCAAAAGACAAGTCATTTAAAGCAAATTACAGAAGTTATGACCGTATAAGATGATCACCATATAGTCTGGGAACAATCTATGGTGGCGGTTCTCGGCCCGTATAATGGTGGAGTTTGTACTGTGTGCATTCTGATAACAATATGTTACAAATAGAGAATGTGCCATGGTACGGCCAAGGCAATAGCGATTTTTCATCCGAGTAACAACACCAATAAATGTTATACATATCTTAATAACATAACCATTACCCATAAAGAACTGGTACACCACTGAATGATACTTTAGACATGAGGTCTATAGAGTGGCTGCAATCCTAATAAGAACAAATAGATGGGGTGGTGCGTTCAAAGGAAAGGGCAAGGGCCTACTTTTAGCTAATGGCTGCTAGTAAGGGACGCTTGGCAGCATTTGTAGGGCAGGTGTGATAACAAGTGGGGTCCAAATGGTCATCCACCTTATTCGATAGGCCAATTATGGAGTTAGTGGCGTACGTGGGACTGAGGAGGTAAAGTAGCATGAGAGTAACCGATCCAAGTCTTTCGATAATTGGCATCATGCCAATACGTGCGACAGTCCCTTTCCACTCCTCCTTTTTCCGGAAGGACGGATCACTGTACCACGGTACCACATACTTTCTTTAAGAACAGGGCTTAGTTTAGACAAGCGACTGGGAAGAAAAGATTCTATAGCATAGAGAATGTCTAATAAAACCTCATGTCAGCGGAATTCTGGTAAGCAGAAAGTCCAGTGTGAAAAAATAAAGTTGAGCAAGTCGGGTTACGTCAAATGAGGACTTTTTACCAAGACAAAAAGTAGTCCAGATAAGGGTTATCTTTTAAAGCGAGTGAGACCACCTCAGCGCGAACATGACAATTAAAAACCGAAATTCGCCGTTTTCCACATTTTCCCACTGTTGATCTCTACTTCAATTAATGGGAAATAATGCGAGCCGTGATCAAAAAGTAGAGGGCAAAGGAGAACGAAGGAAACGAAAAGCACTGTCAACAGCTGTGAATAAAGTTGCAAATAACTTTGGTACGAGCTCGACGACAGTAGCAGCAGTTATAGGCGGACCCACCCCGATAGGACACCGAGTGGTTTTACACGACCAAGCGACACCATTATCAACCTTGAACGGACTCAGCATACCGCGACCTTCAGCAGTTTCATCAAAATATAATCACAGTAGAGGGTCTTCTCTAGCAAGCGACGATATGTCGCCTGTAAGTACACCTTCGAACTATTCACCTGGATCCCTTCCACGTACATTCGGCACGGAGGCTGGAAGCCATGGCAGTCTTGTGATTGGAGATGAAATGGGATATCTTATTCTTGAAGGGAAACGGTCTATCGACCGTCGTATTCCACGATCCGAAAAAATTATGAATGGGTCCAAGCTAATGGAAGCAACAGCAAATCCGTCTACTATATATGACTATCAAGGGCCAAAAGAAGTCGATCGACAGCTACGCCAGGTAAGTTGAAGGAAAGGGGTGAAAATTATTTTAATTCCGTTGTCATTCCCGGGATTGCTAACGCTATTATAGCATTATCTCTTCAAGCGAATATTCAACGGTAACTTTGCCGTTCCACTAAAGAACCCGACGTACATATTAGATAGTGGATGCGGTACCGGTAAGTGACGGTAAAAATTATGTCGAATGATGATATGATTACTGAGGCACGAGGTCTGATAGGGTTATGGGCCCACGAGATGAGCCAAGAGTTTCCAAACGCCAGTGTCGTTGGGCTGGATCTGACACCACCGGCGAAGCATCATCGACTGAAGGATGAAAGACTTTTATATGTTCAAGGCAATGTTCATAATCAACTTGAATTCATGGACAATTCGTTTGATTTTGTATATCAGCGAGACATGGCAACAGTCATACCTTTAGGACGATGGATGCAGTTGATCGAGGAATTTTACCGAGTTTTGAAACCGGGTGGATGGCTGCAATTGGTCGAATATGGTAAGGTTTATAAAATTCGGTCAAAGACAATGGTGTGCTTGAAAAAAAAAACGGCTGAATGACGATGCTGACCACTGAAATATGTCTAGACCTTCCGTTCAAATGCCCCGGGCCGGTTCTCAGCCTGATCAACGACTGGTTTGAGATTGCGTCGAACAAGCTGGACATTAGTCCCCAGTACGCTTCCAATATCAAAGATTTTTTAAGAGATGCCTGCTTTCAAGATATTCATGAGCAAGTATACGATATACCCATTGGAGAGTGGCCAGATGATCCAAGTAAGTAAAATTTTGGTGGAGTTAAATAATAATGCTGAGAGAGAAATCATAATTAAACTTTTTTCTCGATCGGTGTTTCTAGTACAAAAGGAGTTTGGATTCTTGTACAGAGAGCAACAAAAGATTTTATTCAAGTCGATGAAGAAATGGTGGCTAGAAGAAATTCATGTATCTTCCGAGGATTATGATAGAGTTTGTCAAGAAGCGTTGAACGAGTTTGATGAGTATCATAGTTTTGCCCGATGGCGAGTTTTTACTGCTAGAAAGCCTTTATAAGCGCCTCTCTAGATTGTGTCCGATGAAATCATTGGTCAAGATAAATATATATAATTTTGCTGCCTCAGAGTCCGAGAAAAGTGAATCCACTCTTTGTTCTTTTATCCTTTTACTACTTCAAAAACATGGTGTCCGGCAACATATTTGACTGGCTTGAACTACCGACTTTGAAATATCATTGGTATGCACTTAAAGCTTGACAGTTGCCTGAACTACATCACCCAGCGGATTGTTAATTCAGTACATCTCAATAGGCATGTGGTACTTGCAACGTTGGTAGCATGTAATGTATTATTCGAGTTGTCTCGAGTGATTTCCCCGCAAATGTTCCCAAAGACTTTCAAGACATTCCGAGGAGTAAGTCGACTAGATCTATTATTTGCCTCATTCCGACAATTGACAAAAAAGGTTATCTGACTAAAAATTTTTTTTTTTTCTTTTGTCTGCAGTTCAATGAAACCAACTGGAATATCCATGTTGTATCCACTGCCCATTGTATAACTGTGGTCATCGGAGCATTTTTAATATTGAACGACTCTGAGCTTGCGAATGACCGCATCTTTGGTTACAGTCCAAAAGCAGCCAACTTTTACTCGATATCATGCGGGTAAGCGTGATGACATACATTTGTTGGGGAAGACTTTGTGCAACCTACTTAAAATTCGTCTGAATGAACAGATACTTTCTATGGGACATGGTAACTGCCGTTCGATACATTAAGCATCAAGGAATTGGAATGGCTTTCCATGGCGTAGCGGCATTTGCTGTTTTCATATTATCATTCGTAAGTGAAAAGTCGAAGATACAACTGCACCAAAAGTATTCTGTTATTTATCAAAAAAAATATATCTAAATTTCCAGCGGCCATTTCTTAACTATTATGGAGCTGTCTTTATCTTGTACGAACTTAGCACACCCTTCCTCAACTTCAATTGGTTTATGGACAAGCTTGGCTGGACCGGCAGTAAGATCCAGTTGTTGAATGGCCTTGTGTTGATATCCACCTTCTTTGGTGCTCGTATAGCGTATGGCTTTTTTATGTCTTATCAGACATGGGGTGAGTTGTAATTCAACGCTATCGGGATCTGAGAGATGACACACTAATTTTCTGTAAATTATAGTCGATGTTTATGCTGTTCGTGATCAAGTGCCTATAAGCTGTAAGTAAAAATGAAATGGCGTTACAAAATTCCGTAAAAGGGTCAGGGTCTAACAGTTGATGTAATTTGCAGATATGTTCATATATGGCATTGCCAACATCGTATTGAACTCCCTCAATGTTTACTGGTTTGGTTTGATGATTCGAATGCTCATCAGACGCTTTTCCACCAAGAAGCCAGCGCCTAGACTGCAGTAGCTCAACTATTCATGAACAGCCAGGTTCAGCAAAATACCATACATTCTATTTGTTACTACCCTTCCTTGTCTTCGAGACACTACTCAACATATATACAAACAGAGCAAGATGTTCTCCTAATTTGTTCGATCGACCGACATATCCCTCCAATAAATTTGACACTAGTAAATCATCCACTAACACATCTATACCAAGAAATGAGAGAGGTGCGTGTGATATATAGACGTAAGCGCCAACGAAAACAGGAGGTAGAGAAACCCAAATCGTAGATGGTGATAAAAATGAGAGACTATGGCACAATGAACTTTGTTATTTTTTGTGAGTTTTCTGCTATTTTGAATTACAAACTATGGCACAGTGTCTACACCAGTTCGTGCCGCCTTGGTGTTCCTCTTTCGAACTCGAGGGGATGCATTGGATGCTCGTGACTTTTTGGCTACCGGGCTAGTAACAGAAATTGGCGAAGTCATCATAGCAGATCCCATTGAGCCTTTCATGGCGGTATTTATATCGTTTGCAGGGAATCCATTAATTTCATGTTCGCTGGGAGAACCTTTACGCTTTCCTGAAAGGAAAAATAAGCTATGTTAGCAAGGTATGCTTCATTGTATGGTCTTACGGCTGGTGGTAATGTGTGTTACCTATACTAGGGCTTTGTTGTGATGGTGATGTATTTTTTGGAGTTTGCTGCGGGGTCATCATTCCGGCACCTACAAGTAAAATTGTAGTTCATTAGCATTGATGAGTCTAGGTTTATAGCGTACACTTCCCCCACTCCACTCACCTGTATCCAAGTTGGATTGTTCGCGTTTGATTAAAGGCGAGCCCGGTAAGTTATCCTCCTGTACAAAACTTCCCATTGCAGCTGCATTTCCCATTTTGGCAATCCTGTTTTGAATGTTTTGTGACACTTCCTTCAGGCTTTCTGGAAGATGCAAAACAGAAGAGTAAGTATTCTGGTATCAACACAAGTGTAGCATTCCCAGTTTGCAGTATAAGTACCCAATGGACCGACGCTTGACATTCGACTGTAGTATATTAAGTCATCAAAGGAAGCGACGACCTCGGCAATCTAGAGGAGGTTGGTCAATAAGTGGAAGTATTGGTTCCAAAAGACATCACGGTATTCATTCAAATCTCATACCTCTAAACACCGCATCACTCGTGGGCAGATGCCAAAGTCGTTCACCAAACCATCTGGTATAATTTCTCGTAGTATAGCGTCAAGCTTATTGCTAATATTCTTGTTATCCTTCTTCAGAGATTCATGTTTAGATAGTCCAAGTAACGTGTTTCTTGGTATATATTCTGAATATCCACGACTGGAGAAGTCCAACATGTCTATTTTCAGAGCTCCTGTTGGAGGTGATGGTGAAAGTTGTGCGCGTAGTCTGCCGTTTAGTAAAACCTTCACATTGCACAAAAGTTAGTCATACGTTTGATGGCCATAGCAGTGACATTGAGTACTACTACCTGTGAGCCGTTATCGAAGTACTGTATGAGTGTAGATTGAGAACAGTCTACAACGAAAGAGCCAGCTCCAAACATCAGCTCATTTGTGCTTTCCAATGTCCAACTCATCCGCACGACACCAGATTGAAAATATGTGAGGTAAAATCTTGCCAGTAGAGAAGCCGGTAATTCTAAGGGATTGTTGTTTTTAGAATATTGTCAATACGGGGAGGAAAAACCAAACCATAATGAGAACGTAATCCTACCAAACACTTTTTTCTCCTCTGTTTGCGCGTTGGTCATTTCATACCGGAAGGTAGCATTGTCTGAAAAAAAATCGCCAACAACTTTTTGCCAAAACGATATTTCCTTTGTCTGCAACTAAAGGTTAGTAACTTTTTCGTTTGAAAACATATAACGTTAGAAGCATATGCTCCATACCTGGGCTCCAGGTCCGAGATTGTCAAGGTATTGTAGTAATCGGTAGACAGCCGATCCAACGCCAGCTGGTCTGTGATTGGAAAGCAATGAGGATGAGTATGAATGGACAAAAGGAAAAGGGTCAACTTCGTAAACGGAATGATTACAAACCCAGCCTGCTGTGTGGTCAATTGGCCAGGTAACTGACCAGCGTTGATAGGAACTATGCGGTTCGTCATTGGCTGTCCAGCCATAACGGCGGATGGTGGCATACGTTGAAGAGCTGGGTTATTAGCCATCTGTTGGGGTATGGATGCCGCAGAGCCTACCGGGGGTTGACCATTCGTAAAAGGAGCATTCACCATGGTATTGTAAGCGGCAGCGGTTGGGTTTGATATAGCGCCTTGAACACCAGCCATGCCATGCTGCTGAACACCACCAGTCTGAGAGAACATTTGCTGCTGTAACTGCTGTTGTGGTGTCAATTGCGTGCCTGACCCTATGCGTTCGTATTGTCGCTGTTGTTGTTGTTGTTGTTGTTGTTGTTGCTGTTGCTGCTGCTGTGAAATCATAAGATCACGTTGTCGTAAAATTTGCTGCTGTGCTGATGTTGGCGCGGTTGCAAACTGTGTCGTAGTAGACATGTCAGGTACGAGATAAGTAAAGGAGGATTGGTTGCCCTGGCTGACAGGTCTTTGCTGAGACCTATTTTGCTAGTCTCTTGTCTGATAAGCGGGGTAATGCGAATTTAGAATTATGGAATGCCCAGGATCCTACGGTAGCATACAATTAAAAGACTTGATTATCGCGATCTTAAGGATCGTTGGTGGGTGCTGGGGTTGGCCTATTGAGTTGCGTTGGAAGCTTGACTGGATGAGTAGGTGCGAAAGTGCCCAGGTATAGAAAAGATAAAGGAAATCAGATATTGTATAAAGTCCAAGTGGAATATTGATCGCTGAATTGCGCTGCTATTGGCGAGCAGAATGAAACAGCGTGTTCAAAGGAATTCAGGTCGCTGTAAGGATGACCTTGTGTCTTTTTTTGAAAGGGGTGGGTTGCACGGAAGTGGAAGAGGACTTGCAAGCAATCCCACCAATGGGGAGCGCCAACACGTCATCGGATTTTCTGGTGGCAAATTAAGCGCTTGAGTCTGACTCGAGCTTTCTTGATCGTTACTAGCATGGGTCAACAACGCAAGAGACCTGCACCTGGAGTGCCTTCAAACCGACCCAAGCAAGCCAAGATATCAGAAAATGATGTTAGTGTTATATCTATTTGCTGAGGGGGCTGTGCAACTAATTAAATTGCTCCTTTACTGATCTAATTCTACAACATTGTTATCCATGAAAAAATTTTGACAGCTCGGTAAGGAATAAGTTTTCAATCAGAATGAAGCGAAGTACTCGATAGTAACTCTATTTTTTCAACTTGGCATTAATAGCTGAAGAGAAAGATATAGAGCCTACAACAAACGATCTTTTTACTGACCTAGACGACGAGATGTTGATTGACGCTAATCACGATGCCGAAGACCAAACCGGCTTTGCTGATAATGAAAAATTAACTGAAGACGAGAAAGAAGAGACTCAGGTATCTAATTGCTCGTATACTTACAGTGTGACATGATGTACTTCAAACGGTCCTAATTATTCTTATGGATCTAGTCAAAATCGCTTCTAGACGCTCCAGATGTCGCAAAACGGTTCAGAGACTTTTATATCAGTCAACTTACACAAGCTTTTCCAAATGATTTGGATAAAATTCGTCAGGTAATATACCTTTCATTACATTGAATATCGATGTTAAGCTCTGGGCTGATTGTTGTTTAGGAAGAGAACTTTGATCATCGCAAATTGGAAATATTGATCGACTCTTTGGAAGCCGGTGTGGATATTTTTAGCGATATGGAGAAAAACTTCGCTGTCATGTCGAGTTAATTCATCAAAACCCATGTACATATTATCTCATACAATTTGCATAAAATATTAAGTAGACATTCGAAAGAGATTTACCAAAAAATGAGAAATTGGAGACATCGTATAGTAATTAGTCAATTGCAAGCAATCTATTCAATGTCTGATAAATTTTAAAAGTTTCCCAGGATGGTAACTACTTTGTTACAATTCGTGAAAGACTAGAGATATCAGCTACTCTAATATCACGGGCTCGCGCTTTGACACTTAGATTTCGGTCACTAGTGACAAGACAGACCTTCTGCGCACCGGGATGTGTCTCCGTCGTAGATTGCCCTGCCCACCAAACGCAGACCGACAAAATAAGATCATCCAGATTCCGGTCAGTCTCACCCCACATGAATTGTTCTGAACGCATTGAGATATCATGTAAAAAGTTGTTGTGGGATGTTTGTATCCGCACATGAGCTTGTCTAGTACCCAGAGATTTGTTTTGTGAGAAGATCTGTTCAAGATAGGCAAGGGCTTCCTTCGCATTCGTGCCTAAAGCCGAATGATTTGAGCGCAAGCCGTCCAATTCGGTAATGACTTTGCGTGAAATGTTAACAATAATATGAAAGTACCATACAGGTATACAACAAGGATAGCTTACCAACAAGTGGTATAATAATCTGCCATTTGGCGCACTGGATAACTTTCTTGACATTGGCTAGTTCACCGATGAAGCAGTTGGTATCGATAACTAATGGAGTGGCTCCAGGTACAACTTGCTCCCGAAGTTCATTCGATTTCTCCTTCTTTTCGTCTTTCTTAGCCTTTCTGATATTTACGTTAGGCGTTGGGGGACTAGCCTTCAACAGATCTTGCTCGAGCTGCTTTCGTCTTTCCTTTAACTGCTGTATTATGCTATTTTCTTCAGCGTCATCTTCACTTTCTGATAGAGGATGATTAAATTCTTGTCGCAAAAACGGTGCTTGAACGGTTTCGTCTTCGGTATTTCGGGTTTCATGTTCAATCGTGAGTTGCCGAGTCTGCTTTGTGGCAACGTTCAAATCATCGTCAATCACACCAGAGTGTACAATGGAGAAGATTTCTTCCACTGAGTCAAATTCAATTACTTCTTTCATTTGCTAATTATGAGAGGTTAAAAATAAGCAGATTCTAAATCAACCAGAATAAAAACCCATCGTACCTGGTGGAGCACAAAGGCATAGCATATAATTCGAACTTTTCTTTGCAGCCCCACATCGTTGGGCATGATGTTATTGAAGTGATTCAGGGCTTCAACGGCCGGTGTTGATTTGCTGACCCTATTGATGGCATCTTCAACCCATCCGAGGCCTTTAAGGGTCGCTTCTTCTGGCAGTACCGGCAGTGTCATAGCTGATTGTAACAAATAGGTCAAACGGGCTGTTTCGTCGTTCTCTTCAATGTCCGCTGTTGCACGAACGATAAATATATCGATCAGAGTTAGCTTCAATTCCGATGGTATATCAGACAGAAGCTTGTTGAGGAATTGCACTAACAAAGTCCAAAATGCTTCAGAAACTTTGCTGCTTTGAAGCTTGCTCACAGATTTGTTATGCTGTCGACTTCCAATTCCTTCCAAAAGATAGATTGGTCCAATGATGCGTTCCCAAAAGCTCTGCCGACGGTGACCAGAATGGTCACAACGATAGACAACAAAACTAAGAGTGAGCCATTGCAGGATGACATGTATATAAACGAGCCATGATTCTTGATGACGTCCACTCTCTGGCCGTGGCGTGATCGCATCAATCCACCATGGGTTCTTTTCATGACTGGCAAATGAAACGACAGTGACAGGGAAAGGTGGAAGCAATGGTGTTGCGATGTTCATTTCATGGTTGGCATTATAGCGAGAAAGCATCTCCACAGCAACTTGTATTGATAGATCAATTCCATTTGAAAATATTTCGTCTTCCTGTAGTAAACGTACCATCTCGTCTGGAGATTCTGCTACGCTCGTCGTACGTTTCATGTCATTACTCTCCGGCAGATTGATTTCCTGTGATATGTTTTGATTTTCATCATCGTTGGTAGATCGAGACTGTGAATCAAACAAAATTCTGAAAGCTTCGGATGTGAGTTTACCCAATCGAGATGTTGGGTAATTGTAGTGGTATATACTGGCTAGATTGGTTATAGCAAGTTCCATCCAAAACTGCTCTGTCCCCGACAATCCTTTGCGTTCGGAGGGTGGTGAAGAATATTCATGAAGGGCTACACGATTGTTCGGAAAGAGGCTTTCAAAGAATCGTCTGCGAATTTCCTTGAATTGATCAAGGCCAATTTTGGTGAACATCATACCGTGTAGACGAATGAATAGCGAGATGATAAGATGGTCAGATTTAGATTTTTGATCCAAAGCTTCAGAGCTGTCATTATTTGGATTATTTTGTTTGTTTGACTGGCTGGCCGGCATTTCGCGTTGTGCTTTATGTCGTCTGTGGTTTGTTGCTTGAGTGGATTTAGTATACTCTGTGACCCATTGTCGATTTTCTTCAAGTAAAGCCAGTATGCCTTCTCTTCCATTCATGAACGGATTGCGTCGTACAATTAAACTGCAGATATTCAGATATAATTTGTGACATGCTTCCAAAGAATTTTGACCATGCATCAGTAGTGCTAAATTGAAGAAAGGTTTTCCCGCATTTGGCATAAGCCAGCTGGCTAAAGTATACCACTTCCAGGCAATCCTTCTAGCATCTTCTCGATTGATGGGCTTATTGTTGGCAATTCTGAATTTCGTAGCAATGTCATAATCTGCTTTTGCATCAGTAGTAAAGCTCCAACGGTATCGTGCCAAGTCACCGCGATTTGGCACACTCTTGAACCATTTCCGTCGTTTGTGTCCAGTCCAAGCAGGTGCTACGTCGTAAGTAGCTCTGCTATCTTTGCTTTCCAGTTCGAAGACAGCTTCCATCAGTCGTTCGTAGAAATCATCAGCTTGGATTAAGAAGTCGTTAAACAGCAATTTCATCATGATATATTCTTCGCGTGCAGAGTCAATATCACCCGATACACCACTGCGAATTTTAGTAGAATTGGATGTTGCTGAAATGTCGTCTTCGTCGGAATCAACTTCAATGAGCATGCTGGTGTCGCTATCCTCTTCCTTGCGTGCCCGACCTCTTTTCGCACAGACCTTGAGAGCTTGTCGAAATTGTTCCACCAAAGAATATATTGCACGCTTCCAACATAAGCTCTCAAGGCTCTTCTTTTCGGAAAAGGCATAATCCAATTTGATCAAGTCCAAATATCTGTTAGCTAATCGGATGTGTAATTGGATTTTTTGTTCCCACACGTCCTTCTTCGTCGACAGATCGATGTCAGAAAATCCTGGCGCTCTATCCTGTCGGTTGCTGTGTCTTGCTGAGGATGAGCTGCCATTTCCAGTATCCCGATTGCGAGAATTGAAGGGTAAATCGCTATCTCGAAAGTCGCCATTTTGTCCATTTAGTGCCAGTAGTCTTGCCGAACTTGCTATTTGAGCAATCTCATTTTCGACAGCTTGTATATTTTTGAATGCTGACTTTACTGCTCGCTTGTGGGCTTCTTTGGCTTTATCAGTTAACGTTTTGGGTGTCCGTAGGTCAGATCTTGAGTTGGGCCTGTGAGGCTCGTCTACCATTAAAGCAGGGCAGATAAAAAAATGCTGTTGCGTGACAGATTATTCAATTTTGCGGCCCCAGGTAAAATTTTAAGTAGTGCCGCGGGAGCACGGCCTCCCCCTTTCAAAAGCGCAGCTTCCAATGTTGCATGTCTGTCTCCAATTCTGACATCGAAGCCCTTTTCGGAAATGGTATTCAAAAGAAACTGCGAGAAAGTATTTCATGTAAGCTTTACTAATTAATCCTCAAAGCTTGCTTAGACTTTCCTGAAGATGTCCTATATCGATCGGCACAAGAGCTTGCAGCTGTTATAAAGATCTCTGAGACCGTTGCACAAAATTTGAAAAGGGAAGCTACAGCGCGTATCTACCCATGGAAGGAAAAACATATTCAGGTTTGCGATCTACTTAACGTGTCATCTACGCCTGACTGTATCACTCTTGGCGACGCTACTTTGGATCACGTTGTCGGTGGCGGAGTGTTCACGAAGGCAATTACCGAAGTGGTCGGCCAAAGGTACTTCTTACAGTTGACTACAAACCATGAAGATAATTAATGACTAATGTGTGGAGGTTCTTCAGCTCTTCTGGAAAGTCACAACTTTTAATGCAATTGCTACTTACTGTGCAGCTCCCTCGCTCGCTCGGAGGTCTTGATGCTTCAGCTCTATATGTACACACTGAAGGAAGACTGCCAACTAATAGACTGCATCAACTTATTAATAGCTATAGTCAAAAATATTCTGGAATCATCGACAAGGAAAAAGCCTGGAATTCGATATATACCTTGCGACTTCACACCACGAATGCTCAACATACTGTGCTCGGATACCAACTTCCAGCAATGCTACAAAACACTCCCGACATTCGACTGGTTGTTATCGACTCGATTGCCTCCCTATACCGCGGCGAACATTTTGAGTTGGATGATGGAGGACGTCTGATGAAGGCTTCTGAAGTGTGTGATCTCGGTATTCGCTTGAAGAAGCTTGCTGATCAGCACAATGTTGCAGTTGTGGTTGCTAATCAGGTCACTGACGACTTCACGGCAGGCAGTAGCTCAGACCAGCCTCTTACTGATTTCGACAAAAGGCTCTGGAGATGGGCCCATCTGCCAATGTACGCAAGCCAGAACGAAAAGTATGAATTAGACTTGGATACATTCTCCGAATCATTATCGAAGCAAGCAACGCTTGGCTTGACATGGGCAAACACTGTCAATTGCCGAATCCGTATGGCGAGATCTTCTGCGCTGGATCAAATAACCAGGCGCATACTATGTTTAGAGTTTTCTCCTTATACCAATCGAAAAGGCTGCGAGGTACAGATTGATGACAACGGTATGCATGTAAAGGAAAAAGGATAGGATCTACTCTCTATGTTTGATGCACTATATTTTGCACGAGAACTTGTACGATAATATAAAATAATATGTATTATATTAATATTGATCGATGATCTAGCTTGGACATACCTTTCATTGGCGATAGTTGGTTGATGAACATAAACCTCACATTTCCATCACAGTTGGCTATCACTGTCGAGGTTTTTATCACCCCTCGCGCTTTTGGTTTCTCGCAGCGGAGGTGCCATTTGTGACTTGCAAAATGGGACATGTTCAGTTGTAGTGTTTATGAATATAAAGGTTATGTTTTGTTAGATATTCCACGTGTGTAAAATCCCTCCATTTTGTCTGCTTATAAGCTAGTATATAAGTTTTGCTTTGTGATGCCCTGGGCATATTCAGTACGGAAAAGGCTCGTGGCGTTGGAACGTCTAATTTCGAGTTGAAATTTAACATTGAAAAGAAATGTGACCGGTTCACAGACACTGAATTTTTTTTTTTTGGAATATGGATTTTTTTTTTGTGAGGAAGACTGACTAGTTTTCCACTCTCAATCAATTGCCTTCAAACGAAATGGGTAGAAACCAGTTTAAAGCCAAGCAAGATACGAACGTAGCACCAAAGGCTGTTGAAGCTTTGCTCTCTGCCTTCGATTCACCGAGCAATGATAACTTTGCTCTCGTGACGCAAGGAATTGACCGCCATAGACTTCGAATCTTTGATCCACGATCCAGTACTATTAAATCCGACTTTTCTTCCAGCAAAGAGGATAAATTCACATGTCTAGCCTGGGGAACTAGCAGATCTGACGTTGACATGGTATGTTTTATGCACGGCTTGAATTCTACCTCTGGTATATTAACTAATCCAACCTTTATCGGCTAATAGAGCAAAGCATCTAAGAAGAAGAGAAAGACTTCTTCCAACAGCCAAAAAGTGCTAGCCCTCGGCTTGCAAAATGGATCTATTGCTATATACTCGCCTGTTCACGGAAGAATTGTGAAGACTCTCGCTGGGTCACACACTCTGCCCATCAATGACTTCGTTTTCAACCAAGCTGGTAATGTTGGTTACTCAGTTTCTGAAGACCACCACGTTGTTGAGTGGGATATTGAAGAAGGAAGAGAAATCAGGTTAGTCAATGGTTGTATGGGCGAGTTCGCATGTTTAGAACCCTTTAATAACTCCCTTTACAGCAAGTGGAAGGCCGACTCAAAGAGCATCAAAAAGTTGGCCCTTAACCACAGTGAAACTAAGCTGGCAACTGCAGGACACACCATCAACATTTGGGATCTAGCAACGAAAAAGATCTCCAAGGTAAGGGCGGTAACTGGGGTCAACAGAAGGAGGACTCATCAAGCTAATAATGGACTATATCATGAATAGAAATTCACTGGTCATGCAAGCGCTATCACTAATGTTCTCTTTGGTGCTAACGACGATATCTGTGTCTCCATCGCTGAAAATGACCGTTATGTCAACGTTTGGGATTGCTCATCTCAATCTGACGATTCCGGTAACATCACCGCCTTGACAATGGATAACGACATCGTACATGTCGATATCTCTTCAACCGATAACACAGTGTTAGCTTTGTCTGAGGATGGTATTACTGGTATCTGGCAAAATGCCTCCTCCCCTACATCGGCTTCAGCAGCCTCCTCCGGACCCAAATCAAAAAGAAAGATTCGGTCAACCACTCGACAGCCAGATTCCTCCATCAAGGTTGTCTCAAGCGATGATGAATCTAGTACCATTCCCATATTAATGACAGCCTTCATGTCGGGAAGCGACAAAGATTTTGTTATCATTGCTCGTGGTTCTACAATCAAGCCAGCTTTTGAGACTGTGGTATGTATACATGAAGGAGCATTATTGTTATACCATGAATTTATAGTAATGTGCATCAACTTTTGTTTCAAAGCGAGTTCTCGATGCCTCTGGATCTTTGTCACAGGATATTGTCTTGACCAGACAAAATGTAAATGGTTACCTCGTAGACAAAGCGTCACTTGCAGCAAGCAACTTGGTAAGTGTCGCATATTATGGGATTATGGCGCATTGTTATGAGAAGTGTAGCTAACATTCACATGTACTTTACACAGAAAACTACCCAGAAGAAATACGATGAATCATCTGTTACAGTACTGGGTAACACTGACTTTGCCATTTCAAATCCTGCTTTGGCTCAAGATGATGATGATGAAGAAGATAGCAACCAAAATGAACCATCAATAGAGCAAAAGTTGTCAGGTTTGGCAGTTGAAGAGTCTGGTGCCGGAAACAACACTGGAGCTCAAAACGGAAAACCAAACAAGTATGCTACTCCATCTGCCAGTTCATTGCAACAAATGCTTGTCCAAGCACTTCATTCCAACGACACGCAATTGTTGGAGGCTTGTTTGACGTACAGTAACCCCGAGATCATTCGAAATACTGTGCGAAGACTTCCCACCACCTTTGTCATTCCGTTCTTACAGCAAATTGTTGACAAGTTCCAAGAGAGACCAAACCGTGGTAAAGCGCTTTTGGAATGGATCAAGGCAATTCTCTTAATACACACTGCATACCTGATGACTGTAAGTTCATTCTCAATGCCACCGTCATTATGTTGTTCGTACGTTCTCATGTGAACCATGCTTTTTCAATAGGTTCCTGATCTGGTTGGTAAACTCTCCAATTTCTATAAGGCACTGGATGCACGACTTGGAGTTTTCCAGAAGCTCCTTGGACTGCACGGTCGATTGGACTTGGTGATGTCCCAAATAGACATGCGATCACAGTACGCCCAAGAAGATACCACCAACGAACCTATCAATGTTTATGTTGAGGAAGACGAAGAAGAAGAGTTTGAAGATGAGATGATCGGTGAAGAGGAAGATGAAGACGATGGTGATATGATGGAGGTAAGTAAAAGCGGGCATACAATAGCAGTCGTTGTAAACATTGGGTTTTAATTCAGCTTTGTTTGCTAGTATGATGATGAGGAAGAAGATGAAGATGAGGACGATGATGACTTGGATGAAGACTTAGATAGCGACGATGAAGAGTAGATGATCACATCCTTCTATAGACTATCTGATTCTCGCCTAGAAACCATAATGCATTTCAAATTTTTTTTTTTCAATATACATCGTTCTTGTCACACCAAATGCCTTTTTGTCCAAGCCCTTAACGGGCGGCGAAACCGTAAATAGAAATCCACGAGTTTGATTACTGAAAGTTTTCATCGTTTCTTCTTCTTCTTCTATGTCGTTTTTCGAAGATATTGCTAAAACTGTTAAAGGAAATCTTGAGGAGCTCGAGTTTCGCGCAAAGGATTTCTTCAATATTGACGATGAGGAAAAGCGTGAGGAGGCATATCTTGCCGAGCACCACCGTTTCGATTCTTTTGCACCTGTTCGTGAAGGAGCTCAAGTCAAGTACTTTGTAGACGGCAAAGATTACCTATGGTTAGTGAGGACTATACCCCCTAAGTGAATAGAGAGCTTATCTAACCCGTCTTTCATAAGGGCTGCGTCCGAGGCTATCGAGAGTGCTCGCGATATGATTTTTATCGAAGACTGGTGGTTGGTAGGTGCCGTGCTGTGATGCATGGGGATGATCGTGACTGTTTTATGAAGTAAATGAGGCTAACGGAACGGGTCCTACTTTTTATAGAGTCCTGAGCTTGTGAGTATCTTTTTCCATGAGAGAAAGGGTTAGTGTTAGACTTTGATTCTCAGACAAAACGCGCATTAGTTCCTCCGCAGACCTCCCACCAAGTATCCCGAGTATCGTCTCGACAAGTTGCTCAAGAAGAAGGCTGACGAGGGTGTAAAGATCTATGTCGTAGTATACAAGGTAACACAGCGGGATGGTTTGTTGAATATAGAGTTGTCTGCCCCTTCTCAAACGTCATATTTCAACAGGAAGTAGAGATGGCTTTAACTTTGGATAGTGAGCATACCAAGACTTGGTTAGAGGGTTTAAGCAAAAATATTGTCGGTTAGTTTTTTCATGTCCTACATCTTATCAATGGAAGTACTGAGTTGACCACTGACGTTTTGATATCTTAGTTCAAAGACACCCTGATCATTCTGCTGGAGGAACTTTCTTCTGGGCTCATCACGAAAAGTTCCTTATCGTGGATAACAGGATAGCCTTCTTGGGTGGCCTCGATCTCTGTTTTGGGTATGTGGAGTTAATGGAATTGAACGGTTATTTCGTGACCTTGACTAAATCATCATTTGTATAATTTTTGCTGCACAGCCGTTGGGATACACATACCCACAGACTGGCAGATTTCCACTGCAACGATCCCAGTCTTGAGGTATGGCCAGGTAAGCGTTGTAGGTCAAGTAACGTTTTTTATGTGCAACCACCATTAACGGTTTGCAATTTATCACAGGCCAGGACTACAGTAACCCTCGTATTGCTGACTTTAAGGATGGTAAGATGCTAAGCTATTCAACCAGTGAATTTAAAGCTTTGATGCTAAACAATTTTCATTTGACCCCAGTCCAACATTGGGACTTGCAGTTGATTGACAAAACAACTCTCGCCAGAATGCCTTGGCACGATATCTCTCTTGCCATGCTTGGTGGACCTGTCCTTGACGTTATCCGTCACGCATGTGAAAGATGGAATTTCATCAAGGCAAGTGTTGCTAGTTGAGACCTGGGTTACACGCATTTCAACTAACCTTTTTGCTGTAGCACCAAAAATCCATGGATCGCGAGGAGGTGCCATTTTTGCAACCACCACTCGGAGGCTTTGGTCACGCACAGAAGTTTCAACCACCATCTGACTTTTCGCTCTTCCGCAAGCACGTTCACAACACACGTGGTATCAAAGGTTCTTGCCGTGCTCAGATCTTGCGTAGCAGTGCTGACTGGAGCTCCAATATTGAAACCGAGGTAAGCCATTGACATGGCTCAAATTGGCGCGTGTGCAAAAATCTTATCAACCCTATTTCCTCTCACTAGCACTCCATTCAAAATGCCTATATCGAAAGCATTCGTAACGCTCAGCACTTTGTTTACATTGAAAATCAGTTTTTCAGTAAGTGCTTACATAAAGGTTTAGACCGAAACGAAACGTACTCTTAATATCCTCCCATCCTTTTAGTCACTTCTACATCTGACACTGACAAGGACTTCATTCTGAAGAATCAGATCGGTGCGGCTATTGTAGACCGTATCAAGCGTGCTCATGAAGAAAACCAGGCGTTCCGCGTCATCGTTGTCATGCCTCTCATTCCTGCTTTCCCAGCTGATTTGAGTTCAAAGGATGCAGGTGTTGCACGGTGAGTCTTGACACGCCAATGTCCCATTTTCAAAATCTGTGTTGACTCAATGCTATTGTAGACTTGTCATGCATTGGCAATACGTTTCCATTTGCCGTGGCGGAAGAAGTATCCTTGAAGAACTTCAAAAGGCTGGCATCGACAGTCAGCGTTATATTTCATTCTTCGCCCTACGCAGCTACGATCGCATCAATAAGGAGCACATCCAAGATATGCTTGCTAGCGCTGCCGGATATTCGACTGAAGAAGTCCAGGCTGCTGGAGCATCTCAAAGACCTGAAGAGCGTCGGGCTCAGTTCATTAAAGGAGGAGAACCTGACTTTGTTCGTGGAACTGCTGGATCTGTTACTCATCAACATCCATTCGAAAACTTCCGCGATAAGTTGGAAAATGCTGTCGAGTACACTAGAGTTCCCGATGAGGAAGAGGGCCAGAAGGTGCTTAACGACGCCATTAAAATGGCCAAACATAACGAAGCAAGGGATAGTGTTGGAAGAGACGCCATGTTAGATGGCAATCTTGACAAAGAAAGCTGGGTTGATGATACACGTACCGATCGTCCTCGTGGAAAGGCAGCTGAAGCTGATGAAGCCGAAGATTATGTTACTGAAGAGCTTTATATTCATGCTAAACTTATGATTGTTGATGGTAAGTGTCTATATCTCGAATCCGTATCAAGTGATAGAGATGTCTTACAGTTATCACCGTAGATCGTATTGTCATTATGGGTTCTGCCAACTTGAACGATCGTTCACAAGCAGGAGACCATGACTCTGAAATTGCCATGATTGTCGAGGACCAGGATATGGTTCAATCGCGTATGAACGGCGAACATGTAAGTCGTCATGATATTTTGGTATGCTATATTTGAAATGTTACAGTCTATTGATACATCATCGCTTAGTGGGATGCTGGTCGTTTTGCCGTCACCCTTCGCCGACAACTATGGAAGGAACATCTTGGCTTGCTCCCTGATGAAGACGTTACCTCCGTAACACCTTCTATGCATATGCCTCCTTTTGCTAATGAGGATACATTGCATTCGCACGAAGATCGCCTTGTTCAAGACCCTCTAGACGAAGAGACTTACAATGAGCTATGGCTTGGCACAGCTACCAAGAACACCGATGCTTTCCGTGAAGTTTTCCACTGTGTTCCCGACGAAAGCGGTAAGTATTTCTGACTATTACGATCTTAAGACTTTTTCAAATTGAAGCCAACAAATGTATGTTCTTGATTAGTGCATAACTGGGATGACTACAAGCAGTTCTTCCCTGATCCTACCAAGATCAACTCTGGTCACGTAGCAGATCCCAACATGTCTGTCGAGGAGGTCCGATCTCACTTGGATAAGGTTCGCGGCCATCTCGTACTATTCCCACTGAACTTCTTGGATGGTATTGACTTGAAGGGTGAATCGCTTGAAGCCCTTGCCAACGATGCCGTTATGGAGTTGTATACCTAGATATCTTATGTGAAGTCTTTCCATAAGCAGCATGTTGCCGCAAATGCAAACATGAATTTAAATTAAAAATTGGAGTTTTATCATTGTTAACCACGTATTATGCAATGCTATACAATAAGTTATGTTGTAAAATATTCAGATCACACGCCATTTAGAAGTACCGACTCGGTCGAAGTTGGGATATGATATATGACCCACTCCACTTCTTTCTTGAGCTGATCACAATAATGTGACAGAGGTAAATCGTTACTATCATATCCAAAAGGGTTTTCGATTTGAGAGCCAATAGCAATGACACCAAAAAGCGTGAATGCAACGAGTGCTACAACTGGAATCATGAGAAAGCCCATTTCGGCGACCAAGGTAAATGGCAAGGTGACAACATAAATGACTACTCCTTGTTTCCTATCGTGATCATGGAATAATTTAAAGTCAAACTTCAACGTAATTGTACATGTATTAGATATACAGGCATCCAGGTACTTACAAATGGATATCATAGGCTTTTGGAATGGGGGTATGGCGAATACGTTCAAAAGCTGTAAGGCTGTTCGTGAGCGTATCGATTGAAGAGGTGCAACTAACAACGAAGCTGGATTCAATTCTGCCTGCTGCTTTAGCTTGGTTAAGGAAAAGTGAAATGCGAAAGAGAATTTCCATCGGCAAGCACATGTCTGCATCCCTCTCCTCCGGCAAGTCTTCATCCGAATGGAAAGAGATACTTTTGATGGATGATGCAGCAGTGCTAGAGCCTTGTTCATTCAGACCCGATGCACTAGAGCTATCAAGCAGATGCAGTTTGTCATCACTCTTCTTTTTTGCAGTAGCTCGTTTGATAGGATATTCTAAAGTGGGAGTTGTCTTTACCAGAAAAGGTACCTGGTCTTCTTCGTCTCTACGTTTGTTAGCAACGTCACTGATATCATCATTTTGAGGTTGTAAAATTGGTGGTGGAATTAAGTCTACAGGGGATCCTGTAAACGCAGCCTCGGGAACGACATCAGTGTCATCTTGTAAAAGAATTGGTTGTCCCATACCCATCATTGCAGCGATTCTGGTTTTCAACTTGGGAGGTGGAGGAGCTGTTCGTGATGTAGGCATGGATGCCGAGGTCATAGTTGAAACCCAATCATTTGGTAACAATGATTTTACTATCGAAGAGTGATGAGTCAATAGTCAAGGGTGATGTATAATTTCAAATATGCTTTTGGAAAATAGCTTACAGTCTGGATAGTCAATACCGTATTCTGATCTCAAATGCCGCTTGGTAGCAACCGCGAAGGCGAGAAGGAGTTTGACACATCTCATCTTTTCGACATGATCTCTTTCATTCTTTTCGGGGACATTGAGCCAGATCAAACGTGCAAGGTTGCGAATTGTTGTCGTTATCGTTTGAAACAGACGTCTGCCTTCCGTGTAGCGATCGTATGCTGTATTGACTCGAAAGGCAAGCAAAAGACCTAATGTCACCGAGATTGTTGGCACTGAACACAGTGTTGGTTAAATGTTCTATTACTCAGCCAATTTGTTGAACCATGTCTTACCAACAGAGCTTGGAAGACCGAGATATACTTCGAAATTAACATGTACTAAGCAGACAAGCGTAGAAAATATAGACATCAGAATAACAGGTGGAAGAGTGGCAGGTAAAACCTATACATGCAACAACCGATTTTTTGTTAGGTTACTGTGATTATCTGCTTGCCAGCTCAATGTCTCTACACTTACGCTTCCTTTCCAACAGAGGACATCTGGCCAATTTGCCCAAACACGGCTGATGGTTTTTCGAATCCAAGCTAAGTTGAGCCGGTTCGGTTATTAAGCTTAGTTGGTGAAGTGCGAGATATGCCATATACTGGGCTTACTTACTCTTGTTTGTGATGTTGTTTGGAATTGTTATCATCTTTGGTTCATCACTGTACTAGCTGGCAATTTTCGAACGCGGTAGCGCTATGCAGAGGCACACTATCCTTTACCATTTCCGGTCGCTGTGCTAAAATTTCATGGAATATGATTACCCTTTTCGCTGTCCAACAGCACAAGCCGCTTAACAATCAATGGATTTCGTATTGAAAATCTTTTCACTGCACCATTTTCAGCTTGAATCAAACTATCATTTTGTCCAGAAGTTTACCGTGTTTGGGTCAATGTCTTTATGTAAGGTATCTTATTTGCAGTACATTGTGCTTTCATAGCCACAATTACCAGCATTGTTCAGTACCCATAGTGCAAGTATGGTCACTTTCTATTGTTATTCGGAGCATGTCCAGATTTCTATAGAGAACTAGATAAAATGACAGAGTATATTTGTCATATGCTTCTTTTTTATATTTCATGATATTTATAAGCGCTTAAAAGAGATATAGCCTTCGCATGAAGCCCAGTATACGCACAGAAGAGCGCTTGGGTGATTAAGATGGCGTACAGATGTCTTCCTCGGGGTGCATCTAAGACAGATACGTACTCAAACTTCCATCCGCAAAAACCAAAACGGTCGGAGCGGATGGATTTAAGTTGTTTCGAGGGAAAGGTAAGTGTTGTTTATGGGCTACTATGTTTTCTTTTATAGCCGTAAAATTTTTTTTAAAAACATTTTGTGGCAAAAATAAATATTGTTAATTCGCCATCCTGTGTGGTCAGAGCACGTGATCACTTGGGATAGCTTGACCTTCCATATCACTCGTCTTAACAAGTAGGTTGACAATCATTGAGTCATCAATACCTATCCTATTTCTGTTTCTACACATGGCGAAGTGGATGGCAGTCTGATTCATTTGATTGTACTCAGCTACACATTCTGTAGCGAAATACAATCGTGCGACTCAAATAGAAACCTCATTTACTATGAAATATCTCTGAGTAGTAGCGTACCACGTATTGCTTAATGTTTATCTTCCTCTACCATGCAAATATCCTCACCCGTCTCAATGATAAAGGCACATTCATTTTTTTTTTTTTGGATTTTTAACTTGAAACGTGTGTAATGGACGGATATTCAAGTGCAGCGCATACTTCACGAACACAATCTGTGGTCAAATAAAATCAACAAAGATGTCCATTTATGATTCTCTTATACCCAGCGAAAAATTTCGTTTAAAATAACGTGTTGCAGAGAACAGGTAGCAATAAAATTACGGGCGGCAAGTTTCTGACCGATTTCCAGGACCCACGTTGTTAAGTTTCCCAATCAATGCAGATTGGTGCCATTGGCAAACGAAACCAAACCATAAGTATTTGGTTTTAATCAAACCAAACCAGAATTTTTTTTATTTGGTCAAATCAGACCGGTATACTTTTGGTCTTTTGGAACGCTAGTAAGGTTGATGTTTACTGTACAAATGCTAGCTGTATTTAAGGATGTTACTTCAAGTTTGAGATAAAGTTATCTATATTGTACTCCTCCTCATATTGCTTCTCATCCCATAGACTCTCAAGGTTATCCAGAACTGCTTTGGGTCCCACGCGTTTGGCGATTTCTCCTTCTGTATCCTTCTTGGGCTTTTCCTCTCCGTTGCCTCCAGGGACAGAGAAGAGGTCCAGAATTTGATCAGTGTCCATACTTTGGAGACCAGAGTTTTGCTGATTAACAATGGTATTTGCAATGTTGAGTTTGAACTTCTGCAAGCTATTGGTGTACTAGTTAGCTTTGTTGACCATTAGAAGAATATAGAACTTTGTTTGCTTTAAGACTTACCCCATGATTTTCTCTTCCAATGTACCTCTAGTAATTAGTCGATACACATTGACGACCTTCTTCTGTCCAATACGATGTGCACGATCCATGGCTTGCAGATCCTTCATGGGATTCCAATCATGTTCAACAAAGATGACGGTGTCAGCTCCAGTCAAATTTAGTCCTAGTCCACCAACGTGCGTTGTGAGTAGCAGCAAATCGATGGAGGGATCCGCATTAAATTTCTGTACAATATCGTGACGCTTAGTTGCGTCAATAGATCCATCCAAACGCAAGTATGTTACGGACGGCATAAGTTTCTTCAAAATATCATCTTCAATGATATCTAACATTGTTTTCAGCTGACAAAAGATCAAAGCTCGATGTTGACTGACCGCACCAGCTGCCATGGCGGCTGGATCTGTTTCTGTTTCGTTTGTTGTGGCACCAATTCCACAATCCACCAACAATTGTCTTTGTATTCTTATGAGTATGGAAGGCAAAAAGTTTCATTCACGTTGTTGATATCGATCACTTACTTCAGAGCCAGTAACTTGGGAGCATTATGAATGTCATGTAGCGACGCTTGATTCTTTTCCAACCGCTGCATAACCTTGTTGTATTCTGGATGCTTAGGATTGACAACCAGAAGTGGATGATTACACAGCTTACGAAGGTATTGTAGAGCTTGGAAAATATGTTGCGCCTTTCCGCCACCTTCTTTTTCATCGGTTTCCGATTCCAGTTCATGCTCAACCGCATTCTTAGCCTGAGATTTAGAAAACTCCTCATATAGCGATTTCTAGAGACATATTCCTATTAACATTGGTACCGAAGATGATGGAAGATATGAATTATACTTACTTGCAGGTCACTGAGCTCGCAGTAGTAATCTTGGATAATCTTTGGAGGCAAGTCGTGAAGGACGTCTTCTTTAAGGCGACGAAGCAAGAATGGCAAGACTTGTTTATGCAGTGCCTCCAGGGCCAGAGCACCAGCTTCTTGTTCCTTCGAGGAGCTTTTACTATCTCTGCTGGCCAAGATGGGCTTTCCAAATCGATCATTAAAGATCTTCTCTGTGCCTAAAAATCCTGGCATGAGGAAATCAAATAATGACCATAGCTCCAGTACATTGTTCTAAAAAAGGAGTATAAGTAATCTGAAGCTTCTAAAACGATAAATGCCTCTTGCTTTGTTTACCTGAATGGGTGTACCAGAAAGAATGAGACGATGGTCGGCTCTGATACTTTTGATGGCCTTAGTAATTTTCGTTTTGCCGTTTTTGATAATATGACCTTCATCCAGGATACAATAATTCCAAGGCGTTTTCTGTAAATCCTCAATATCATTGCGGATGATATCATAGGACATGATGATGATATCGTGATCTTTGATCTTGCTTCTGAGTCTGGTAGTGAAGAAATACAAGCATGTAATTAGCACGCTAAATAAATTCAAAGTAGCTATCATGAAAGATATTGCTGCTGTATCAATTACCTCTTTCTTTCCGCTGGTCCGCCGGTGTACATCAGAGGCTTCATTGTGTTGGTGTAATTTTTGATTTCATGATACCAGTGACCGGAAAGTGTTGGTGGACAAATAACTAATGAAGGAGGACATGGTGATGTTTCTCTTCCTTGTGCATAGGCTGTAGCTCTATTTTCATGATCGCTTGCGAGAATGCAAATAGACTGTAGTGTCTTGCCCAATCCCATATCTGCAACGATCAGAGTGAATTAGTTGTCGCATTATTGACAAACGCAGCTTTACTGTAGCTTACCATCACAGAGTATACCATGAAGATGGAATTTGTTAAGGAATGCCAGCCAGCTGACACCTTCTTGTTGATATTTACGAAGTTCGGCATTGATTTTAACGGGAATAACGAATGTTTCAATTTTGCTGGGGTCCATAAGTTGAGAAAGGAATTTGCGCTCCTCATCACGGTGAGCGAGAAGTTCTTGCGACATGCCTGGTGGATCAGGAATACCAGCTTCCAAGGGTACAAGCTTTATCAACAATGCAAAGCAGTTGGTGCATACCAGTCGTACCGACTCGTCGGGATCACTCATGCGACCAAGAATGGGAACTATAAGGAAGATCACGTAGGGCAAAATCTTGGCATCCAATAATTGAACCAGGTGATATATAACTTCAGATGCTCCTTGTCGGTAAGCATCATTTCTAGTATCACCAAGCATGGGAACCGCTTTTTCAACGATTATACGCATTCCATCAACAGTAATGACATCGCATAAGGTGGCCAAGCAACGGGCACCAGCAAACCGAATGAAAGAGTATCGAGATTTAAGTGCTTCGGCAACGTATGGCGCGATAGATACCACCTATTGTAGTATGTTGTTTAGTCATATTATCAGAGGTAGAAGTTGTAGAACGAATACTTACCTGACTCCAGAGAGATGCATGTAGCACTGGGAGGACTGTTCTGATGACTGTCAAGGAGTCGATAATTTCTTGACCGACGTTGGTTTCCTCGGAAATCAAATCATCCGCGCTGTTTGCTTCGGTAGCAGATGAATCGCTTTGATCACCATATATGCCTTGTAGTTTACCAGTCATACATTCCCATACTTTCGGGATTTCTTGAAATAGGTGTTCTCCAAATCGATCACACAGTTCTTTGAGTGCGGTTTCTGCACCACGCCTCATCAGTTCCTGCTCACTAAGCTGTGCGTTGGCTGCGGAACTTTCCTTGGATGCCTTTGCCTGGGCTGGTGCATCCGTTTTTTGCAAAGATTGTATTCCTCCTAATTGCTGATTGTCCGCAAAAACAGGTGTGAGAAGAGGATCCGAACATAAAAATGTACACAGGTTCTTGACAATTTTGTCGTTTGGATTGATGCGCGCTTGACCCTTTGAGCATATGGCTAACAAACTCGCAAGAGTTGAAGCAGATCGGCGCTGAAACTCATGATTTTGCTCAAACTATGAATGCAATAGGAATTAGTTTAACCGGGCCAATACCTATCGGAGGAAAAGGATGGTGAACAAACCTTTATGCTGTTCATAACACTTCTGATCACGGGATTGAGTTTCACTGGTAGAACACCTAATGCAACAACAGCTCCAGCCAAACTTGCTAAAATGTTTGTGTCCGCTCTTTGTTTCGTTTCATCGTAAAAGCCTATAGAAGTAACAATTCGCTTGCGACGGTCCTCCAATGATGATATAACAGCAGGTTTTCCTCGCACTTTGCCGATTTGGCTGATCAACGTATTAAAGCACGCATCTGCAACCCATGCTGCCGTCTCTACGCTGAAGAGGTTTTCTTCAGGTGAATCAGGGCCAAGTGCGACTTCTCCGACTACTAAAGCTGGCAAACTTGGAACTTTTGCTTGTGCAACTTTGCCTTCCAAAACAAAAGCATTGAGCAAGCTTTGGCACTCTGCACGAATTCTCTTGAGGACAAATACTAATTCATAGAAATAACCTTGAGGTAGACCTGGTTGCTGTTGTTCCGAAGTTGTTTGCATCACGCCATCATTCTCCAAAGAGCTGACTGTGACTTTGGACAGCCTATTCGCGAATGAAATGGATTCAGCCAAAACCACAATGCGATCGCCATCACCGTGGAACTTGATATTGAAGCGGGATCGCATAACTGCTTTGGCCCATTCTTCAATCACCATAGCTGCCAACTGACGCTTGGAAGCCCAGGAAGAGGAGAGTAACGTGATGAGAACATCATAGTAAGACATTTCCATGGTTTCGTCTGGCCATATGCTCATAATTTTGCCAAGGGCTGTCGCCGCAGCAACTCGACCTCGCATGACCTTTTCAGGAGTGACCAATGAAAAATCTTGAAGAACCATGCCTGCGTCAAGATTATAACCACCTTTGTCGTCGTCAGCACCTGCATTTTTGCCTTTAGCCTTGCCATTGGTCGCTTTGGTGTCAGCGAGTTGTGCACCGCCACCTGAGCCAAATGCTCCTGGTGGTTTATAGAAATGAGTGGTGACTTCCAAAGGCTGGCCAACAGGAGTCATTGTAATCTCGAACCAGCTTCCCATCCAGTTCTGTGTGCCTTGCAGGATGACATCATGGGTTACATTATTAGTAGATGTGAGAGCTTCCCAGGCGGCTATTGTTCTGGCGAGGATATCGTCGCGCTCCTCAACAATCAAATTTTGAAACACCAGTCGATAAACATTCTCCTCTACCCATTCATTTCCAGTTTTACATTCGAGCAAGGTGATAAAGGTATTGAGTACAGCCATACGAACGCTTGTAATGATATGTCGAAAGAACGGATATAAACGTGGAACGAGGGTATTCAAAGAGTGTCCTTCACGAACGATATCCATGACCGTTTCTTGTTCGAAAAGTTTGGCGATGAGATCCATGACAGCACCAGTTGAAGCTGTTAGATCATCCTTCAAATCCGTTAGGCAATCCCATAACGTGCCAATGAGCTTGCGAATACGTTCTTTTGAGCTGAGTTTTACAAATTCGGCGGTGACAGGTAACAGAGTTGACGCGCTGACAGCTCTGACATCGTCGTCGTGGTCGCATAACCCCATAATGACAGCATCTGTTGTACCATCCATGAGCATATCAACAAGGTCTTTTCGAACAGCCACAGCATATTTTAGACCAAGTAAACCGGCGTGTCGGATTTCCCAAATGGACTTCTGCTTAAAAGAGCCGTGGTCTTGTTTGATGAGCTGCAACAGTATTCCATGAACTTGCTTTACGGATTCTGGTGCCATATACTGAAGAAGAACACCGAGGGTTTGTGAACATGTTTCACGAACAGGACATACAACCTGATCAGAAACGAAATCTGCAAATCGGTCCAAGATGAACAAACAGAGTAAACGGATCGCAACATCTTCCAACCATTGGTTATGGGCATGCTCATTGGCTTGAATCGTCAATCCAACTTTGTAAACCAATTGAGATATTAGTATATGTATTCTTTGAAAACTTTCGCAGGGCATTGCGTTCCTACCTCTTTTTCCCGCGCCATTTCCTTGGCTTTTTAGGACACTTCTCAATCCAATCCCAGCACCATGCCGTATTTCCCAAGCAGGGTCGAACAAATCCATGCACAGGTGTTCACACACTGTCTCGAATGGCCACTCATTCCGAGGAACTTCGGATGTGAGTGCCTCCGGTGGAGGAGCTTTGGATTCAACGACGATTTTGTCCGACTGCGGTTGAGGAGTGATATCATAGTTCTCCAGGTTGCCTATTTAATTTGAAGATGTTGGGGTTAGTCGAGTGTATTTGCCTAATATAATACAATATAAAATGCGTACTTTCGCTTTCAACTTTAACTGGACTGGGTGTCGCAAATGATTTAGGTTCGGAAGCTTCAGGTTGCCTCTGACTTTGTAAATCAAGCATCCTCACTCTGTTGGCAAATGGTTAGACCACGATCTCTCCTGAGGATGCGTCATATACATCATGATCTTACTTGTCTTTGCTCTTATTCTTGGCATCCTGTTTCATTTTTCGCTTGAGCATATTTCGCTCTCTGGCAGATAACCCAGCCATGTTGATTTGTGCGACCGCAGGTGTGGTGGCGGGTGGAGGAGTTTCCGGTTGAGACTTTTGGATTGGGGGCGGTTGTTGCGTTGACTTGGAAGAAGCTGTATCCTTTATCGCCTCCGATGATACGTCAACATCATCAAGCAGATCAACTATAGAATGAATATTATGATCAGTTAACCTTTTTCGAGTATATAACCGTCTTCGTGATTATAATTACCATCCATGAACTGGCTCCCAAGACCCAGTCTCTCCTTTAAATTTTTGCGTTGTAGCGCCAGTCTTTCCTGTGGTGTCATATCGGACATATCTATATCGTACTCCTTACCAGCTGATCCAAGGAGGAGTTTGCCATGAACAAGGACAGATGACAAGTCAAAAGTAGCGAATGATAATGTATCTATGTCACTTGTGTCAATCGGTGGTGGTGAGTTTGAATCTTCGATTTTCATGTCTTCTGGGGGGTTCCATTCTGGAACATTGGCTGCAATAGCCTCTATAGCTTGTCCAGCTGCTACGCGAGTCTCCCATGATTTACTGCGGAGGTGGACGATGACCTAGTAGAAGTAGATAGGGTTAGTGGAAGCAATCCATAAGAGGCGTGTAACCTCGAAAGGTCATCTTTAGCGGTCACTATTACACCAAAACGCGGTTTTGAAAAAGCTACAAGCAGTCGCAGCTCAAACAGTTGAAAAGGTTCACGTAATTTGTGCATTTGTATGAGGTAAGCATATAATGCAGTCAATACATACTCTTGTTAATAGGTTATAAAGCTCTGTAGGGTGCTGCTTCTGAATTTCTCCCAGTTGCTGAGCGGCGGTTTGTCGAACAGCTGCGGTAGAGCCGGTGTCCAGCAATAGGACAAGGCGGTCAAGTCTAGAGTGATAGAGTTAGAGAGAGTTTTGTTGACAAGGTATTGTGCATATCTGAAAACACACCTGGTAGCCATGGAGCTAGCCAAAGGAGAATTATCTGGGTTAGGGCAAAAAGCGGGCCAAGGGTGGAAGACGGGTGGCTTGTGGAGGGGAAATTGGATAGAACAAAGCTGAGGAATTTCCTGAGCATTTATAGCCATTGTGTCGCTGAAGAAAATGGACTCAGAAAAGTCACACTTTCAGCCAATGAAATGCTACGCCCAAAAAATGCCTTAGCTTTTGGTCACGAACACTTCCCTCGAGCTTCTCTCCATCATTTGCCCAAAGTTCATGCTTCATTTCCATGTTGCAGTATATGAGTACGATGTTTAATCTTAATGTATCAGAATTGCAAAGCATTAGGCATAAAATGACCGTGTCAAATATGCGCTGTCCTATCACTGAAATAAACCGCACAAAACCGCGCTTATTTAGAAAAAATCGCATGACTTGTAGCCATCGAGTTGTATTTTCAGGCTTGACCGCCACTGCTTGCTATTCCTTTGTAAGAGACCATACGTGTCAAACCCTTGGCTCTCAATAAAGTCACCGGCCAGACGATTAGTTTTTCTTTGTTGTTACCTACCCCAGGCGTACGCAGCAAAGAGGTACGGAAGAGAATGTTATTTACAGGTACGCCCCCAAAAGATTTTTCCTATTCCTAGCAAATACTCATGTTATCGCCATCATTTAAATCATATCTTTGGCAGATTGCTGAGCATATCAGGAACCAGAAAGTGCGATAAGTTTTTGCATTGAATGAATATGTGATGTTTATTCCTTTTGACGAGCTTCATTTCCTTGAGATAATGAGGCAGAAGTTGTCTCGCTATTTTAATCCCTTAAAGGTGAAGACTATCAATTTGGCTTTGCAAGCTTAAGATTCTACTCTTTGTTTCTTGTAGTGAACTCGTTCTGGTGGAAATGGGCAAAGGTTTAGTAATTCGTATATCAGGTATGTGGTTATGTACATTGATTCCGTAAGTTATTATACATACTGCTTTTCCATTGCTTGTTTGATTTCTCCTTGTTGTGAACCAGTGAGGTTGACGTCCTTCATTTGAGCAATGTCAGAGGAAGTTTTGGCTTGCAGTTGGTCATTTTTCTCTTTCAGATGCTTAATCGTGTATTCCAGCTATTTAGGTGGCAAAATATATTTTAGTATACTGTGGTTAGCATGCCACATAGCACATTTTCTTACTGACCTTCTTAGCTCTCCCGCTGAATCCAGAGTCGCCTTCAACTAGTTTTTGAAGTATTTCCAGCTCCTTTATCCAACGCTTTTCGGCAGTTGAAAGTTCTGGTTGGTGTAGGTTCATTAACTTTTGAAGAATACTATCTGCTCGAAGTGCTAGCTTTTTGTCTTTACGGGCGATCTTTTCAAGTGCTTTGATGCGTCTTTCTCTCTCTTCTGGAGGTGATAATTCATTGATACGGTTGAATATTTCAGAGAGTTGCCTAAGCTGTCGTTGTTGTTCATTCTTCTGCAAGCCGAGACTTGAAGAAAGCATATGTTAGTTATGATTAAACAGCAGTTCAAACTGGTAAGTACTGGATAATATATACCGGTGGCGAACATCGGTGGCTGCCTTAATGATTTCTCGGATTTCATCTCTGAACACTTCGGCGCTATCAGCCAGAAACTTAATTGTGTCCTCATTGATAACAATCTCTTTCTTGCCGCTATATTCAGGGGGAACGACCACTCTTGGCTTGGATGGCAAACCCTGCTGTCTCTTGAGGCACTTTGGTGGCTCGAAAGGCGGCAGTGACAACAGTGGAGTGTACTTTACATCTGTGTCACTTGCGACATTGGCAAGTTGATTTGACATAGCGGCTGAAAATGCGCTCTGGGATCTACCCATAGCAGTTCGTCTCAATGTGAGCTCTAATCCGATCAGGCGATGTGTAGCTGTCACAATGAACAAGGAATATGAGAGGTATGCGTCGGTAACAGAAAGAAGGCCTATGATGGGAACAGAGCTATGGAAGATAATTCGGTGTCAGCATAAAAATACATGGGCCGAGCAATAGACTCAAATATACATGGTCTAAACATACTGGTGTTGTAAAGGTGCTGAATCAACCACGAGGCAGATTTCTGAAGGTATTGATTTGGTGAGCCAATTTTGAAGGGCTGTATCGTCTTCAGTTTCTTCCATCTCCAGTTTAATCTTGATCTCCTTCAACGTATCCAGCCATCCGCTGATGGTGACCGCATGCACACCGGCACTGTGATAGACGTAATATACGTCGGCGTACATACTATCCTGAACAATTGCCAGACCTTGATTTTCAGTTTTACCGTTGATGTTCAAATCCAAGGTTTCGTATAATGATACCCGTGGCAAATCGTATGTGATTAATGCTTCATTGTGTTCAGTTTCCTGTAAATGTTTTTCAGTATATAGCGTACACATCCGGCATCTGAAGTCAATGTATTACCATAGAGGCCGTTGAAGGCAAGGCCCAGGCTGGTTCAGTTCTTTCTACTTGCATCAGTTCATCCACTTGTCCATTCTTGTACGTGACAATGATAACGCCAACAGGGTCAGTATTGAGGAAAGCTATGTCAGAAGCGTCAACATCTTCGTGAACTTGGGACTGAGGCGTAACAATAAATGGGCCTTGTCGATATATATCCCCAAGATTGCTTTGATTTTCATGCATGATGGTGACAAATTCTTGATCCATAAATCGAAGATTCACATCAGAGATTGAGTCCAGTGTGCTGGGGGTGGCATGAGAGTGAGCAGATGTCAATACTTCTCTCACCCATATACCTTGCTTTCGATATAGGTCGATTTGCGCATAGTCGCTTCCACCTTGTGCTTCACGAGCAAGTTTTTGTGCATGCTGTAACTTGACACTGACAAGTCCCGCCAGTACCTCAATGTGCTTTCTTCTAGCTACACTTTTGTAAGGAAGTACTGGGCACAAAACATATATGTGGCCGTTTCGAAGAACATAGAAGATCGAGAAAGCTTCCCAACCATTTGTCGCCTCATCGGCATCCCCGAAACAGAATGAAACAGCATCCTCGCGATCGTCGGCAACATCCTCAGCAGAATATGACGATTTCTTCTTCGACTTGTGAACAAACCGGGTAGTGGCTGGAGATAAATCGAATGCTTGTTCTGGCTCTTCTAAGTTTTGACTGAGATCGTACATTCTTAGTATGCTATCAGAGGCCAGGACAACAATATGAGTCTTGGATTCACTCAGAGGATGCCAGAGTGCTTTTAAAATTTGATTAGTTGGATGTCGTCCGTGATAGTATCGTCCAACTGTCAGCGTCCGACAGGAGATTTCTTCTATATGTTCCCCTTCATCTGCATCATGCGCCAGGCGAGTGCTTCGAAGTCCAGAACGTGGTAAGATGACTACTGTCAAGTCTCGCTCTCCAGCAACCGATAAAAGACGTCCATTCCCGTTGAGTTGCAAAGAGATAATCCTATACGTTACTGCTGGTGCTTGTAGTTCCTTCGATATCAAAACAATTAGAAAAAAAAATAAGGAAGAAAAATGTTATGCTTTACAGATATAACTTCATACCTTGTAAGGAAATTGATGAATCCAGTCAGCAAAACGACCACCTTCTTGGATCGATTTCACCCATAGATTTTTGAATTGGTTAAGATTGAGAGCTCTTATTGTCGAGCCAACAGCAACAAACAGATCTCCGTCACGAATGACCATAGTCGCAGGCAATTTGTTCGAGAAGTCGTTGCCGGAATCTTCCCAGTATTTCCAGTCTTCATGTTCTTTTTCTGAAAGAGAAAATATGCTATGTTGTTTCAAGGCGTCAAGCCAGGAGCCAATGTTGGGTATGTCAGGAGCCATTGGGATAGGAATGCAAAATCAGACAACGCGCCTTCGTAAGGAAGGTTGGTCTTCGCAAATCGCAGTCACAGGCTGCGGCTTGATTCGAGCTTCAAACACGTTTGACATCCAAACCACATGGTCCTATTGACAAGTAACGTACTTTCTTTATTTTGGTTGGATGGTTATCGGTAATAATGTGGATGATAATGATGAGTTTGTGAAGCCATTCTATGCCAAAATAGTACCGTCATTGATACCCTAAACCAACCAGGTAATTCTTTAGTCATATGCAAATTAACTATTTGCGAAAAGCTTAGAGAGGACAATTTATAAACTATTACCTCGCTGCTACGTGTTGTCCCAGTAAAATAGAGTAGGTGGATTGTTCGTCGCAAGTATCTTTCCATTATAGCATTAGCACCACATTCACATATTAACAGTAAAAAATGTACACGAATTCCCGTGAGCTGTTCTATAGAACAGTGAATAAAGATCAAAGACAGTGCTTGGTTTCGATCTCTGAACGTTTGCGAAAATCGATCAGAGAATGTGTATACCCACCCAACATCATATGACAACCCACCGCAAGAGTAAATTATATTACAACTGAGAATAAAGCGACACAAGGGGATCTGTATCACATTTTCTGACGTGTTTTCGCAAACTTTCAGAACTCACAGAAAGTGATTCTAGCGATATTCTGCAGCCACCGACCTCCGGCTTTGATTGTGTGTGCTGCCAATTCACAAACTTTATCAGTAAATAACGGAGTCTGATTTTACCGCATTTGTGAGTCCGAATGACCCACCAGGCTTATTAATTATTGGGTAGCAACAACCCTTGATAATCCAATCGCCAAGGCAGGATACGAACATACATGGATAATGGAAAGCGAAGTGGATATTACTGAGCACATTTGTACAAAAAATTTAGGGCCATTTTTTCCATTAAGCCTGAAATCACTGGAGAACCACCGTTGCGAAATACAGTATGTGTTCTATCTAACCAACTCCATATGCATACCCACCCCCATCGGGGTAACAATCTTAGTGGCGGATCGTATAAATAAATGGGAACGAACAGGCTACAACTACTTCACATTGTTTTTAACTCACTTCAAACCTTCAAAAATGCTTGAAAAGGATCTTTCAGACGGTTTAATTTTGCGGTGGGCTACACCGGATGATCTCCAAAAAGTCCCTGACCTTGTCGTAGAAGTTTTCTCTACTCCAGATATGCAAGTAGATTCCCTAGGTGAAAGGTTCCGAAAAATCATGGTCGGGGAAGGTGGGCTCATGACGAGCGATGACTGCCTGGTTGTTGTTGATACCAAGAAAGAAGGTGATCCGGTTATTGCGTGTACAAGTTACTGGCAGGAGATGCAGACTTATGAAGGCATTCCATTCAATGCTGGTAAGCACTTTGATGAATTATGCTTCCAAGTAGTTACAGGTGAGAGGTACTCACTAGCTTTAATAGGCAGACCAGCTTGGGTGGGTGTAAGAAACGCTCCAGAGTATCGAGGAAAACGAATAATGAATCACATCATGGACGCTTTGCATGCACGAAGCAAAGATGATGGTACCATGGTCCAAGTTATCCACGGTATTAATTGGGTAAAGTAGAGCTTCAGGGTACTCATGAATGTATGGATGCTCACACTGACTGATATCGGACATAGTACTATCGACAGTTCGGATACGAATACGGAGTCGACTATGGCAAGAGAAGTAAGGTGTGGCTATCATCGGTACCACGGCTAGAGAAGGGCAGTGTCGAACGCTTGAGATATCGCCGCGCAACTGTCGATGACATTCCAACTATGTTAGAGTTCGATAAAGCTCAAGGACGTGGTGGCGCAGTTCACATTCCTTTGTCAGAAGCCTGGATCAAGGGTCAGATTGAGGACATGCACCGTCAAGATACTAACAAGACACATGTGGTGGGCAAATATGTGCTCATGTTTGAAGACGAATCTGACAATGTGGTTGGATTTTGCGTTGTTCCAGGTTTTGGAGATGAAAAGGACAGAACATTAATAGGTATCTATCAAATTGGATTCGCTCCACACATCGATATACCGACGGTCCTATTTTCTGCCATGCGTAACGTTATCGCTTTTGCAAAGAGTGCAGTGGACGAAGAGCGATTCCAACAGTTGACGTCATTAGGATGGCACGTATCACGCTGGCACCCTGTTGTGGAAGCCATCCCATCCCACCTGCGCAACTTTGCAAAGATTCCATATGAAGATCCCTCCTATTATTACCGAGTTTCTGACCTAAGCACATTCATACAGCATATCCTCCCGGCACTAAACTTGCGCTTAAAGAGTTCACTCACACACAAGAACTTTACAGGCTCGGTGAAGGTCTCAATGTATACTCCAAGGCACCCTGGATTCGAACTGCAGATCGAGAGCGGCGTCATCGTCAACACTCTCCCATATGTTAAGCGTGATCAGTCGGAGGATCCTACCGTTGCGTATTTCCCACCCTTTGTTTTCTTACAAGTACTGTTCGGGCGAAAATCTATAGCAGAACTTGAAGAAATATTCCCAGATGTAGAGATGGAAGAAAGCACAGAGAAGCTTCTGAGCGTTATCTTCCCTAAAAAAGTTTCCATCATCCACCACTATATGTGAAAGATGACCTTGTAAACATTGTTTGCGGATGAGCAATATAAAATAAAGGTGGTTCATCATTTGTGTGTGAATAAGAGTAATATCTATACAATCCATATGCTCTAGTCATCCGTCACAGTCTTGTGAATATAAATGAGGTCGCCGACCGTTTTCAAGTTACAAGCATACCTCTATAGCACCATGATACAAAAGGACGGCCAGCATCCGTGTCCCTTGAAAGTATTTTACAAGACAAACCTTCCTTACATATGATATGGAAGAATACCATCTTAGCCAAAGCTTCTTTCTTATCTTGTTTATCCCAATAGCTACGAAGCATTCAGAAGAAGAGGCACGTGACTGAAAAATTGGAGTCTTTCGACGCGTTCGTCTCGCGTTCACCGGAAAGTATCACACTCCGCAACTTCCTTCAAAATGGACATGGATGAGCTCCTCACCTACATTGTGTCCCATTGTGAGAAGATCGACCTCATATATGAAGAGATTGGGACTTCTGAGAAAGCTCGCCGAGAGAATACACAGTCCCTTTTCGAGTCTTTCGTCCACTTGATGAATCAACAAACGAAAACAATTACAGACGAAAGAGAATCATTAAAGCGAAAATGTCACGACGCTCTCAGCAATGTAGCACGCTACAAACGACTAATGGGGACGTATGTTGATGAAGACGTTATGGAAACCCCAAAACGACCACTTCTAACTTGGCTATCAGAGCTTTGCGATAAAGAAGAAATATACCAGAGAGTAAGTGCTCAATTTAAAAATAGCGTTAGCCCATAATCACAAGGCGCGAACTGATCATTTCTGTTTTTACAGAAATACGAAGCGAAACTTGATGGTCTCAAAGGTTTGATATCTGTTGAAGAATAGTAGCCAACCCCTGTCACCATCTCACATTTGGCACTCCAACTTTAGGTCTGCATAATCATATCAACGAATTGCGAGAGGCATTAGTAGACTTCGTCGAAAGCGAGCCAATTGACGATGGGGATGCAGATGTATCAGAATTAGCTATACAGCATGTTGAAAAGGAAATCGACAGATGTGAAGCTGAATATGTAAATATATGTTTCTGTTTTTATTAATGATCGTCGAACGAGGCGTGTAATGGTGACTTACCCCATTGTTTTTGATGTAGGATCGACGAGCTACATTGGTAAAGGATCTGAATCGAAAAATTCAAGAACATTGGAATACATTGGGTGTTACTGCGAAAGATGATCTGGATCAGACCTTACGGAAATTATGGGCGTTGAATAACGATGATGATGAAGACACTGAAAATATGCTTCTAGTACCACTTGTATCACCTGCGAAACTTGAGGAAATAGCTCAAAAGCTAGAATCTGTAAGTAACAAAAAATCCCGGAAACGAATTTGAAAATAATTGCTCCTATTTCTGACCTACTACCACAAAATTTAGTTGACAGAATTCAGGAGCGAGAGAGAATTCCGAGTGGATGAGCTGTTACACCAAATTATGAAAATTTGGGATCTCCTTAGCATTGATGAGGCGACTAGGGAGGTCTTCAAGGATGAGAACTACGGACTCAGAGAGGAAAACGTGAAGAAGGTAAATATATACAAAGTTGATCCACATTGTGCATCTAATTAATCATTCAAACATAACATTTACAGCTTGAAAACGAATTGCAACGGTTGGCCGTTATCAAGCAAGAAAGAATGGAGGAATTCATAAAAAGGGCAAGACAAGAATTGAAAATGCTGTGGGATCAACTTTATTACAGTGACGAACAACGTCAGAAATTCAAACCTGCCTATACAGGTACTTGTGAAAAATAATTTTCCCATCGACACATGCTCAGGCAGACTTTAACCATATTCGATTGTTTTAGAGAGCGTTGCCGATGAAATACTGGAATCACACGAAAAGGAAATTACTCGGACACATATCTTAATTGAAGATCAGAAACATATACTTGAAAGAGTGGAAAAGCATATGCGTCTGGTAGAGGAAATTAAGCAATTCGAAGTTTGTATTTATAGTATATTGCCCGACGTATAAACTTCAATATAGCTCATTCTACATTTCTCCATAGGCATCAATGTCCGATCCTAATCGATTATTTGGTAAAGGCCAACGAGACCCGGGCCGCCTACTCCGCGAAGAGAAGTTCCGAAGGCGAATCGCAAGAGAGTTACCGAAGGTAAGGGCTCAGACCACTTTGTGAAATCAAATGGACAAACGCCGTGCGAACTCATTATATTTTTTGCAATGTGTAGGTTAAACGGGAGCTCAGGTCGGCATTGCAAGAGTATGAAGAAACAAATGGGGAGCCATTTTGTGTTTTCGGCAAGCCATACACTGAAACGATCGATGAACAGGAGGAACAGGAACAAGCAAAACCAGTCCGAGTAAGTTGTCATACGTCTGTATCAGTCGCCAGCCCCGCCATGTAATCTAATACATGGTCCGATGAAAATTTTCAGTCTTCAAGAGGTGTCAAGAGGGCGTCGTCTGAAGTGCTTGACACCCCAAAGAGAGGGGGGGAGAAACGAATTACCAAGACACCTTCCACCACGCCACGTAACCGACCAAAGACACAGTTGTCAACTCCTCACCGACATCCCACAGCGCATTTGGATAGTACGCCAAGCAACCGCAGAAAGAGAATTCGAAGTCATTTGGAAGAGGCAGGGTTGAACGATGCAAGCGACAGTATTTTGCACAAAGTTCGCGAGCATAATTTAAATGCATTGAAGTCTGCTTTGCAGCCATTGAACGACAATCAATTGCCAACAACTTCTCCCAAGGTGAGTGGCACAGATTTTAGTGTCCGATCAGGCCCGAACGAAATGAGACAAAATAATTTGTTCGAGTTTTACGTTCTTTTGACACTGAGACTCAATTTGAACAGGTACCCGAGGTCTTTAAAGGTGTTGCTCGCGCAGGATCGCCAACACTCAAAGAGAGAGTAGTATGGAGTGACGAAGAAATTGATGAAGGGATTTTTGATGATGGCCCAGATCTTAGCGACCTTGAAAATTAAGGTTTCGAAGTTGTACAACTGTATATGTCATTGCAATAAAAAAATAGGTGGAAAAGCCCAATGCTTTCAGCACTAAACCCAAAAGTACAGTCCAGTCACGCCACATTCCTGATCGGGACTTGGCTCTCAACTGGGTTACCAGGCATCGCAGTGGCCGCTATATTTGTACAGCCTCAGCAAGTAGAAACAGTGAGCGAATGATTACGTCTCAGCTTTATCCGGCTGGTGAAGTGAGATGCGTCTCCGTTGAATCAGGTAAACCCCCTTGCTCGCAATCGCTAACGAAATCTATGTTTCGTAAAAAAAAATAACGCAGCGCGGTCCATTATCCTATTTCAGGGCAAGAGTTGGGGGGAGGGGTGAAGGTGATCTTCCAAAGCCAATATGATGAACAGAAAGCTGAGATGAATTCAAAAATACATATCGGTTGGATGGAAACCAGAATTAGCCAGCAATTAAATGGGTTTTGTTATGTAGAGAACGTACAGAATAAGTGGTGTTTACTATTCTTAGCTGGAGCTAGCGGTATGCCAATGTTCTACACGTGAGACCACGATTTTTTTTCCACAAACTCCCTTTAAAAACTCGCCCTGCCCCCGAAATTTTTATTCATTGTCAAGTTCTCCCTTCCATTCTTGCTTGGACTGTAAATGAAAACACTATTATCTCTAGCGAGTCTCGCCTTGGCGGTCAATGCGGCTACTGTCACTTTCAGAGTGGTGGCCCCAGAAGCCACTAATGTCCAAGTGTCCATAGGCGGTCAGAGCACTACATTAAACGCTTCCGACCCAGATGTTCCTTACTACACTGGCTCAGCCAATCTTGATGCCAACGTATCCTACAAGTATGTTGTAAACGGTCAGGCTGAAAGTTTTGATAGAACCTTGGACTCTGGACGTACACAAACAATGAACGATTTTTATGGTCGTGAAGTCACCTATGCCAACCTTCCTACCTTGCCCAATCCCATCAAAGGCGATTCATGGACTCGTATGGGTACCAAAACCCCAGCCTTCGATGATAATTATTTCCCGACCATTTTCATCACAGGAGACGATGCGCAGGTTCAAAATTTAGTCGCAAACGTACCCGCTCAGAAAATCCCCGTCAAATATACCTTCATTGGTCCCGATGAAGTGAAAGTCTTTGAAAATTGCTCTTTTGGTGTCCACCATCCCGGAGGTAAGAAGAATGAAGCCAAGCAAACCTGGGAATGGAGCTTGCCTGAGGGTCAAAGTCTATACGGCCGCAATTGGATGAAAGCTCGCAACATGGAGCAGGACCCAACCCAAATGCGTGAAAAGTTATACGCTGATATTCTCTATGCCATCGGTGCTTATAGCAATCAGGCCAACTATGTTCGCATTTATATCAACAAAGACGGTTACGGTACCTTCAATCTTGTCGATGACGTTATTCAATACTCTTTCATCGATGCTGTCTTTTATGGAACTGTCACTCCACCAACACAGTTGGGTCCTCTTTACGATGGTAGCACCGGTGCTTCATTCGATTACGACGAGGAAAGCGCAAACGGATTTACTTCCTTTATTCCTAACCCTGACAGCCCAAAGGATTCCTCCGCTTTGGCTGGTCCTTCTCTAGCATTGAAAAATTTGGATGTTACAAATGATGCTGCAGTTCAAAATTTCACCAAGACTTTTGACGTGGATGATTTCCTCCGCTTCATGGTCATTGAATACCTAACCGGTAGCTGGGATGCTTATTGGATGATGCAGAGCAATGATGGTGCATACCAAGATCCTGCCGACCAGCGATGGTATTATCTTCCACAAGGTAGGATATTTTTCTTTCTTTTTAGGCTGCATTTAATTGTCTCAATTAGAATATGCCATATTCTGCTATATTTTCTTAATTCTTATTCTAAGTTCCCAATTGAACGACAATTACTAACATGTCAATTTTTTTTTTGGATGCTTACAGATTTCGATGGCACCTTTGGTCTAAGCATACCTGCTGATATGGACTTTGTTAACAAGAGCTACACCACTTATCCTACCACTTATCCTACAGCAACCATGATAAACAAATTGCTTCAAAACCCAACCATCAAGACTACTTTTGAAACATACCTCAAGGATATCACTACGACATTGTTCAACAACGCCACTCTTGCTAATCGAGTACTGGCTGTACAAGAGCGACTGAAGCCTGAGGTAGCTTGGGATCGCAACATCACCCAACGATCTCCTGGTGTCAACTTTCACTGGACTTACCAACAATTCCTTGATAACGTTTGGGAGCCTGTCAATTCCGCCGTTGGCGGTGATGGTGCTGGACAATGGGGTCTTTTGGGGTGGGTCGTCGCAAGGAGCGACGTTGTCGCAAAAGAATTTGGATTGACCTTGGCCACTACCCCAGTTGACGGTTCAAAGCCTAATGTCAATGCAAACTCTTCTATTGCCGTTCAAGCTTCCGCCACTTCTGTACCCACCGGATCGCAAGGAGCACAGGTCGTCAATGCTGCAATGAGCGCTGGAAGGTCCTCTACTTCTAACACAGCTTTCGTTATTTCATCCACTATTGCCGCCACCCTTGTCGCCGCTCTATTGATGGAGTTCTAAACCCCAATTCCTTTTTGTACACCCCTCCCTCCACCCCATTACTTTACTCGATCAAAATATCGTCCAACATGTCCAAAAAATTGTAGTTACAAGTATTATATCTTTCACTTCTACATCACCAACCTTTCCCCCTTCATTGGCTCTACCTTCCCAACGAAGAGCATATTCATTTACTCCCCCATTCAGTGAACTGCTTTTTTGTATTTCTTACATTGTGATTAAAATAGTAAGTGTATGATATACATTATATATATATAGCGTGCATGAAATCAAGGAATGTATTAGCTATCCTTGCCCCTCATCTTCTTGAAAGCAATCGAAATAGCCACTAAGAAAAGCAATAGGTACAAGGAGTCATAGGTTCAGTGCCAATTATATACTGCTAAGGAGGCACAATGTTGTCTCAAGCGATTTAAGTGGTATTTGGTACGCATGCGCCACTAAGCAGGGGAAGCAAGGCATGAAAGATGGGGTAGGAGGTGAGGAGGAGAATGCAATACGTGGGGGGTTCGAGGATAGAGAATGTGGATCCGCAGTGCACGGTTATCACAGTAAATGTGAGATACCTGCAGCCAAATCGAATCATAATATTTAGACATGGCAAGGTGAGCATGACAATTTGTTTGGAACGATATTTTGAATTAGCAAAGTGCGTTCAACATTATGATATTATCATGTCGAAGTGTGAGCATTTAATACAATTACTTTTTTATTTTTTCTCAATGCAATTGAGTCAAGCCAGAGCAGATATTGGAAATGGATGTTACTACATACAACCATGACATCGATCACATAGCCTTCTTTAATAACTTTTCCACTTCTTCCCAATCGTCGGTTGGAACCATTGTGATAGGTCTCTGGAAGATAGTTTCCATCTCATGCATTTGCTGCCAGCTATCATGATCGTGTACAAAGTTAATGCTAACGCCCGTTCTGCCAAATCGACCCGTGCGCCCAATACGGTGCAAGTATGTTTCTGCATCTGGTCGTCCTTCTTTGGTCAGCGGCATGTCGTAATTGATGACAAGTGTTACTTGAAGAATATCAATTCCACGAGCCACAACGTTGGTGGTGATAAGAACTTTGGAATGTCCTTCACGGAAAGCATCCATGACTGCATCACGTTCTTCACTGTCCAAGCTTCCATGCAACGAAACAACGGAGTGGCCATCTGCTGTCATTCGTCTTGCAATTTCATCCGCAGTGTCCTTTCTCTATAGAGCATCCGATCAATTTAGATGTGTATCCAAGTATTCCCTATGCCATTTGTAGCGCACTTACTCTACAAAATATAATACTCTGACTGATAGTCAAGAGATTATAAAGACTGCATAGGACTTCGTACTTGTGCTCTACACTATTGCAGTCCATGTAAAATTGCTTGATTCCATCTACGCTCAATTCTTCTTGTCTCAAAGCAATTTCATCGGCGTTGGGAGCAAATCGTACTGCAAAGGAGCGCACAATTTCCGGGAAGGTAGCGGAGAACAGTACAATCTGGCAAGTCTTGGGCATCATACTACAGGTACCAGATATCAGTATGGCGATAAATAAGCAAGTTAGAAACCAACACATGCTTCTTTCGCAAATTACTTACTTTCGCACACGTATACTATGGTCACCGAGTCCATTTTGATCCAACATATTGTCAGCTTCATCCAGCACAAAGATGCGGACGTGGCGTGTCTCTAGTTGTCTCCTCTGGGTGAGATCCATGGTGGTTCCTGGAGTTCCCACTATTAGTTGTGCTTCCATTTTCGCATTCCTTTTGTAGGTATCTTTCACCGCAGCCGCCATCGAGATGTTGGTGAATTTTCCCATTTGAGACGCAACATCCAGAATTTGTCGAACGAGTTCCCTGGTAGGTGCTAAACAAATGGCCTAATACACCAGGATTAGTGGTGTCTAGGACATTTTATATACATACGTTATCTTTAGCATTTTTGCTTGCCTGTGGTGCCTTAATTTCTGGATCGATTCTACTAAGCATCGTCAAAACAAATGCAGCTGTCTTTCCAGTTCCGGACTGGGATTGACCGATCATGTTTCTGGGCCTGTGATTCAATTAGCTTGCTGTACGATATATAACCATTCTAAAGTATCAACCTACGGATTAGCCAGCAGCAAAGGAAGTGCACGTTCTTGAATTTTTGAGGGTCTTGTAAACTTCATGTTATATAAACCCTTGAGCAGCTCGGAATTACTACAAGTGAACAAACAACGTCGGAGTTCTATGGTTAGTTCAAAAGGATACCGTTTTCACGACGACAACAAAGAGTTTAAACACATACAGTCCAAGCTGATCGAAAGACTTTGCAGAGTAAAGCGGGGAATCAGGATTGGCTTGCAAATCTGCCAGCTTGACCTGCACAACATGGCTGGATTCGATCAAGTTCGAGTAGTTTTCATCTGCGGCTGATTACAAGTATGTCAGAAGGTCATGTTACTATATTGAGCGTATCATGAAGTGAGGTGCGCGGTACTCACTTGCATTTTGAAGATTCGAGAGTTTGAGCGTGAGCGAATCGTCTAGAGCGATAGAGAATTGGTAAACAGGGCTTTAGCAAGAGGTGAATTTAGTTGTATTTTCAAACCCCATTGTTTGATCTTTAGGTACCACAACGACTCTCATTTCGGTCAACATTCATCTTCTACAAAACATTTCTGATTGCCAAAAGGCGAGGAAATATACCTGCGTTGTCCATTGCCTACAATCTGTTCGCTGATCAAAGTATAGGAAATCAAGTGGGTAAACTGACCCGAAAAAGGCCCTAAATCATTAAAAAAAGCCGTCACTTGGCAGCTTAATTGCATGGATCCTCTTTGATTTGCATGGATACTGCCGTATACTCTTTATTGTATCTTCCCAAGTCTTGATTAGCTCAATTTATGCGAGAGTGAAGTTCGTTTCTTCAAGCAATGGTAACAGTGGCCCTCAAAATGTAGTTGCGATCATTGGGATGTCTGGATATGTGCCGCCATGAAATCTGCTGCCGATCATAGTCCTGAAGATACAGCGGGAGAAAGCATCCGCTACCCTAATCACTTTGTGGTGGCTGTTGGCACTATGGTCCCCGTAACTCTGAGCGATAGCTCGTTCCCAATCGTTAAACATTCTGGGTGATATGGGTTCAGCAATCCTGTGCCCTTGAAGTAGTTTGATCGAGAAACTAAGTTGGCTCCTTGGACTGTGTGGGTTCCTTCCGCTCCTTGTATATCGAACGGATCACTCGGGAGCAGAATGACTGGCTGGACCTCTAATGAGGAATAATGAATCTACCTCTCTGACAAGTGTGGCCCCAAAGAATAACTCTTGGAATAGCGAATTAAGTAAACTGTTACCATCACTGTCATTCGCGAACCTATCCTTGTCCGGTGAAGGCGTTGAGGCCAACAATCTCTAAGTACTTCCAACCAGGCAGTGTGTTCATTTCTTTTTTATTGTTACTACGCAAGCGACTTAAAATATCGAGCCAGTAATAAAACTAAGAAGTGTGCGCACTACTAGTGTAATCGATGAAGTTCTGTTCAATACTTGGTTTGCTGTTGTTGGCGCTTTACTTGAGCTGCAGATGGCGGAGGTGGCAGGAACGGTACAGGGTCTAAGAAAGTGGTGATATCAATACCTACTCTCGTACTTTTTTTTTTTAACTTTACATAGCATCTGCTTAAAACAAACCTCCAGAACCAGAATCTTGACCAGTTGCTTTTGGTCGAGTCCGCCGCGTCTAGTTCAACGTGTATGTCAGCAACATGAAATGTGAATATGCCTGCAGATTATGGAAAACTTACGCCTGCCTTTCCGATGTTGATGCTGATAGTTTCGCCTTCCTTCAAGCTATAATCCTTTTTAGATGCTTCATCTTCTTTTGGCTTAGTGAGAGCTTCCTTCTCTGCATTGATTTGCCTTTATAACGATGAGTTCAACTGCCACTTCCCAAAATGCTCAATTATCGTTCTAACTTACTTTACAAAATCTTGCAGCGCAACGTTGAAATCAAAAGCTTCACTTCGTTCTAAGAAACCCATACCGACAAACGCGTGGCGACCTAAATCAACCATTGATATAATTATTATCTGTTTTCTGACGATTGAAGGGGCTTAAATGCGATGGACGTACCTTCGTTCTCAATGCGTAGAACAAAATAGCGACTGGAATCTAAAACTGGCTCAACAGAGCTGGTGTCATTTGGATCATAAGGACAGATTGCGAATAGATCACCTAAAAGAATCAAGACTATTACAACCGAACAGCTTACGCACGCTCCATCTATGCCGATGTTTTCAGGCCTTACCAGAGGCACTATCCTCCAAGCGTATGCTGCACTTTTTCCCTTGGGCGATGATCCTTAGCCTTCCTTTCCATAGAAAAGCCTGCATATCGCCCCATTCAGCAGCACTAAATTCATACATGTTTGATTAAACTTTGTTGGCCGACTTCCAATTCGTCATGCCAGCCTAACGAAAACTTACCGGTATCCTCTAGCAGTGGTTCTTGGCGGAATCTTGTAGACTGCAATGTTGAACAATAGGGGTAAGCGTTCGTACAACTTATGCGCATGCTGGCCATACAACTTTCAATCTTACCATAGCACTCCCTCACTACTAACAGAACGGATTCATAATCATCATCCATGGTCAACGAACGTGTCAGCCACAACTTCAATCCATTTACTTCAGGCACATTTCAACGAGGACTTTCTGTATCGATTTCAACTCCGACAAATGGCCTTTATTTTTTCTCATTTCTTTGACAATTGTAATTCTGAAGGATACAGCTCTATATCATTCTCTTCCAAGTATGTAGCATACTCATCATACGATACCTCTATTTTAGAGCTTTGGTATCTTTTGAGGCGTATTGACTCCCGTACAGAAGACGTGATACGACCCTGGAATCCACCTTTACGTAATAACGAGTCTATAGCTTCTATTTTATCCCATCCCTGCTCTGGTATGACATCCGGCAGATACGTTGCAGTTCGTCTACGACCGCTGTCATCCTCAAATTCTATCCAAATACCGTGAGTGCCTACGTCCCAGTCCAAATAGTTTTTGGCCTTTTCGAAATTGGTCAGTAATGACACACCACATGACAATAGCGGTAGTTCTTTTCGTGTGATGGGATTGAATCGACGATCATGTAAAGCACTGTGCGTTTTGCGGAGTGGCGTTAGTCGTAGTTTAAGGGGAACAGGACAAGTGATCCCAATTTAGCACTCAGTTGCTTACCTGGTGAGAGCATATTGCTTTAAACCAGAATGCAGTGGCATAGCATCAAAATTGCCTATACAACCACGAAGTCGATAGCTACCATGCTTTCGAATATTCCAGGTAACAAAGAGAGGGCTATCATCGATGTTGTTAGTTTCTCACCCAGCGGCACTACCTTCCAACGGAGATTTTGTAATACTTACCATTCGTTATCGTCAAACTCTGGAGGAACAGATTCTCTTCCTTCGAAGTGGGCAGCTAAGACGTCAAAGCAATATATGCAGTGCTTTACAGTAACGGCCATCTGGGAGAAGGAAAAAGTATTATACAAATATCGAAGCAACGTGAGAGGCCCAATTCACGGAAAGTGCTCGAACCTGACCAGCTGTTTCGAAGCAGTCACATGAAACCAGCCATCGGTGCTTAAATCTTACTGGTCGACTGCGCCAAGCACGACGTATATATTATCGTCAGGGATTTATCAGCCGGTTCCATATCTCTTTCCTGTTTACTACCAAAGTAAGTTCTAGGGTCACCTTTTTCACACACAAAAACTTGAAAGTTCCATGATTTTAACAAATCTATCACCTTAGAAACATGCAGATCTTTGTAAAAACACTTACTGGCAAGACCATTACCCTTGAGGTAGAATCATCAGACACTATTGACAATGTCAAGCAAAAGATTCAAGATAAGGAAGGTATTCCTCCGGACCAACAACGTCTTATCTTCGCTGGTAAGCAGCTTGAGGACGGACGCACTCTCTCTGA